CAAAGTGAAAGAAAGCCAGTGCCTTCCTGTAAAGGTAATTGTTTATTAACAGGTAAATATTTAAATGGTTAAGAAATGACGATGATCTGTACATTTCGAAAGCTAGCTAGAAAGGGCTCTTGCTACAAAGAGAAGTGACACTGGGTGCCACTATAACAGTGACATTTCATAAATGTATGAGGTTTCAGCACAGCATAGTCCCTCATGTATAAACCACATTCCCTTTACAAAGATGTTGTGGCAGGTGCAAAAAGCTGTCCCGCTGAGACATACTGTACATGTGTGCCAAGTGTCTTCAATGGCGTCCCTGCCAACGGGAGAAAGAAATGCCAGTTCACGCATGTTCTCCTTATGAACTCTGCTAGTGTGCAAACACATATGGATCTTTTCCTAACATTATAAGGAATGATCTTTTACCTGCACATACACTTGGAAAAAATGGACCATACGTTGTTAAAGGAAACCTGCACAGAGAGAACTATTGTATGGAGGCTGCCATTGCTGAGCTTATTTTGAATATGCTATCTGTCTGGCTGTTTCTGGCTTCCTGGAAAAAGCAGACAGCAACCAAAGTCAGAACTTCTGATATGCATACTTGTAGCAGGTCAGTGATGCAGAAAGAATTTAAGCAGTGGCGGAACTACCGCCGGTGCAGGCGGTGCAGACGCACCAGGGCCTTGGGGCTCTAGGGGGCACAGCGCCGGATCGATTAAGATTTGGATTAGCATGACAGTCAAGCATCAGGCATTAGAAAGAAGAGATTAGTTATGACAGACTATCTATTTTCTCAGTGCAGGCTTCCTTTGGTCTTTACATCTTAATTTCAGGGGAGGTGTTTATCGTCCCATAATTCTCTGGTGAAAACCAATTATCAAGCATTCATAAATCTTGCAATGGGGGAAACACTTTACTAACTACATGTTTCCTAAAGCTTGAGTACTTTTCTCTGAATTGTCTGATCTACTTACTTTTTACTGTTAGCAAGGCAAACATTTATGAAGAGTATACATGCTGAAAATGCATTATCACCCTGTGCAGGTTTTATGAATGTCCCCCACAGAGGCTCAGTTATCATTGTGTTTAAAAAAAAAAGAAGATCACATGGGTGTTCTCATACCATCCAATCACATTCATTCTATTTTCTTTATATTGCCCTGGGAAAGAGAAAGGGACAATCTGGTTTTAATGGTTAATACCAAGTGTCTGAGACAATTGTTTTTGCAGACACATTACAGGCTCACAACTCAGTTTGAAAGAAGCTCTAATTTTCTACTTTAATGGGAATGTTCTTTTACATTTCAGAAATATTAAGACCTGCACAAATGATATGGTAAAAATATTATATAAACTAAAATTTAAAGTCATGTTCCATAAAAAAAAAAAAACATGTTAGTTTTGCATGACTGTCTGGCCTTAGCCATTCCTCACCTATGGGTTCTACTATCAGCTTTCTTCCTCAACAGATCTATTCGGTCAGCACTTTTCCTTAGTAGAACAGTACCAACAGATCTCCATGTTAACTGAACAGCCCTCTTCTTAAACACATCAGCATCAACTTGCTACCTCAACAAAGCAACATCAACAACAGCTCTTCTCCCCAACAGGGCAACACTCTCTGATAATCTCCCCAATACAGTAGTGCCATCAGCTCTCCTTCCCCTGACAGTGCAGCACCATCAACTCTCCTTCCCCTGACAGTGCAGCACCATCAGCTCTCCTCTACAACATGGCGGCACCACCAGGTCTCCTCCCCGACAAGGCAGTACCATCAGCTCTCCCCCTTGAAAGGGCAGCCCCATCAACTCTGCTCCCAGATGGGGCAGCACCATCAGCTCCCCTTCTAGACAGTGCAGCACCATCAGCTCTCCTCCCCAACAGGGCACCATTATCATCTCTCATTTTCCCAACAGGGCAGCGCCATCAGCTCTCCTCCCCAACAGGGCAGCGCCATCAGCTCTACTCCCCAACAGGGCAACGCCATCAGCTCTACTCCCCTACAGGGCAGCACCATCAGCTCTCCTCCCCAACAGGGCAGCACCATCAGCTCTCCTCCCCTACAGGGCAGCACCATCAGCTCTCCTCCCCTACAGGGCAGCGCCATCATCCCTCCTAACCAACAGGACAGCACCACCAGCTCACCTCCCCAAAGGGGCAGCACCATCAGCTCACCTCCCCAACAGGACAGCACCATCAGCTCACCTCCCCAACAGGGCAGCACCATCAGCTCTCTTTCCAGCTCTCTTTCCCCCAACAGGGCAGCACCATCAGCTCTCTTTCCAGCTCTCTTTCCCCCAACAGGGCAGCGCCATCAGCTCTCTTTCCCCCAACAGGGCAGTACCATCAGCTTTCTTTCCCCCAACAGGGTAACACCATCAGCTCTCTTTCCCCCAACAGAGCAGTACCATCAGTTATATTTACCTAGAAGACCATCAGCTCCTTGTCTTACAGAAGTACTAAGAACCTGTTAGCTCTGATCAGTGCAGTTTATATTTACAGCAGCAAATTACAGTGGTATTATGAAAACTATCGAAGTTGCCTTAAAATCATTAACTTCCACACCACTTTAATTTTGTAATATTAAAGTCTGATCAAAAGTTAGAAAAAAAATCTGCTGCTTACAAGTACAGTACTCATTGAATTACTAGCACATTTTTTTTTACACATTTCACACTTCAATAAACAGCATACGTTCATCAATTAAGTAAATATTTATGTATCAGTTCATTTAGCAAATTTCTTTGTTAAACTGAGCAGGCTGTGTTTGATACACAATGTTTCCAAACACACCAATGTGGTTGTTTACAATTAAATAGCGGTAAATTGTGTCACAGATCATGGCTATAGTTCTCAGTTCAATAGTTGTCATATCTCATAGGTAATAACAGCAGCTTCTGAGACGCAGCTAGTATCAGCACAGTACTGGCATTCTTTTCATTTAGATCATGAATTGGTACAAACCATAATAAAGTAATCCATGAAAGTCTTATTTCAATGTCAGCTTAACACATAATTGGTGCAGCCAATCCTGTTCAGGTAAGTCAGACAGAATATTACTAAGATGCTTAAATAGACATCTGGGAATGCTACGCATCAGGCATGGAAGTTAACGATACATATCACTTGACTGAGTACATTATCATTATGTCATATACAGAAATAAAATAGTGCTGCAACAGAGTAACCATTAAAAAAAAAAAAACACCTTACATTGGTCTGCAGCAGCTTGGTGTACTACAAAGAAAATAGGGAATAATTAGCACACAAAAGAAATATGGACAAAAACTAATGTGGGGGACAATAAATAAGTACCCATTTAAATCATAACGTAAACAAGAACAGCAGAATCTCTGCATAAGGCAATTGCGAACAAATAAAAAACATTTATTTTTTAACATTTTAACTGAAAAACATTATGTCCCATTTCTATAAAGCTTAGTTGTATTTTAAACACAAGATTTGTATTACCCTTGGCTCTCTTTATGTTTTGTTAAGCCTACCGTACATGGGCATTTAGGCTCTGTTCACACCTAGGTGTTTTTTTGGTCAAAGCTAAGCGCGGCACAATGTTCAAGACAAGAAATCCCATTTATTTTGATGACCTTTGTTCACCCCTGAGCGTTTCGTCACACAAAGTTTCCCATTGAAGCCTGTGGGACCAAAAAGCTCTGTAATCTGCAAAAAAATAGCTCATGTACAACCCCAATTCTAAAAAAGTTGGGACGCTGTGTAAAATATACATAACAAACAGAATGCAAATATTCTTCCTCTTACTTTGTAAAGTCAAATATACTTAGCAAAGTCTTCCCTCCAAGTCCCTCACTTCTGATGTTTTGGATGCAGGGACCACAGATCTAGTGGTGCAATGGCATCTAAGTTCATCAGTCCTCTTGAGAGGACCCAGTCAATGAAATCCAATAGGAAGTGTCCATATCATGCAGGTGCTGACATGGACAGCAAAACAAGGACCCAAGCAGGAAGTAAACAGAAGGGGGGAAGACCCGGGCTCTGGTATCACGTGATAGCCACTTAAAGTAAGTGAAAATCTAACGATCAGACAGGGGATAAAATGTATCCTGGAGAGGGAGGGATTGTAATGGCAGAGAACACACACTATTCTTTTCAGCCAAGGAAGGTACCATCTTAGCCTCTATTTGGATTGCAGTTGCCACGGTGCTGAACACTTGATAAGCTATGACACCCGCCATTTAAGGGTGGTAAAAGTTTTGAGAGCTGAAATAAGCATGCTGGCAACCTTGACATTTGGCATGACATAAAAGTAACTGTTCTGGGAAACAAATTGGTTGATAAAGTTCCAATGCATAAACAGTTTGTAGTGCAGTGAACAGCATCCAGAAATGATAAGGCTGATATACTTAAGGAGTCCAGAAAGTGCACTCAAAAAATTAGTGAATGTTGACTTCAATTACCCAATTATGTAAAGAAAATTCTTGTTTACTTTTTGTCTTTGGGTGTTTAGTGTGAATGTACCTGTGAACATTTCCAGCTCCTTTAACAAATCCATCCCGATGCATCTGTACACTTACTTCACTACTCTCAATGCTGACAACATGCACAGATCAAAATAGGAGCAGTTTTTCCCCTTATTTACATCTGCTGAGTTATAATGTGCTACACAAGAGGAATGATAATATACAGATCTCTAAAGGAGTTGTAAAGTCCCAGCATCTCCTATCCTGTTATAACATCAGCATTGTAATAGGAATACACACTAGAGTTCTTTTTGATAATACAATCAAAGATTACTTTTAAAAAAAAAATCACTTTTATGTAGTGAGCGCTGCCTTGATGGCAGGGAAGATTCATCCATCCGTTCAGTTTAGGCCAGCAAGATCTGATGAAAGCATGACTCATAGCCCGTGGGGTCTGTGTTATTCAAACTAGCCCATGGCAGGTCTGCATCTGATGAAATGGTCCAATGTATAAACCTGCCTAAAATTTCACATAAACATCCTGCTTGTGCAAACAAAAAACGACACAACTTTGTTTTCTGAAACATATTTTATTGGTTTTACAACATTTGTCATATTACTGTGAAAACTGGACTTTACAACACACAGGTGACATCCTCAGCCAGGCCAGCATGCACTGAGCATTGGCACGAAATGTACAGAGGAAGGGGTCAAGCAGCAGTGGAGTATCACAAGAACAAAGAGTATACAAGTGGCACAAAGAATGATGGCTGTTTTTTTTATCTACTAGAAAACCGTTACTAGAGGTTAAGTATGGCAGACACAATGACACAACATGTTATATTATCTAGGGTAACAGGTATTTTTCTGGTCATGAAAAGCTCTGGCTCAGTGCACTGCAAGCCGATAAGACTTCTGTCAATACACAATTCTGATACTACATGACTACTCCAGTTTAATCAGGCTATTACATTGGCAAGGAGCAACTACATGATACACAATAGTATATAGTAACATGAGCTCAATAAAAGTGGCAAATACATCATGTTAACAAAGCCCTACTTCATGTATATGACTATAGCCGCTGGTATGTATATACTGCTGTAGGAATTCTAGGGGTGTCTAGCCTGTGAAGCCATTGCCAAACCAGAGATATATAACAAGTGCCTTCTCCAATTCTGATCACTGCTCAAGGCTCTGACAGCATAGCTTCCAAGAGCTGGAATGGATAATCCAATACATTGTAAGAGTAGGAGCGTTATGAGACATTTGACATAAGAAATATCATGTGTACATCTATAAGAAGTCAGTTGCTGGATTGCCACTTCAGTTCTTCAATATGGAGTCATAGACCTGGTACACATAATTACACACCTCTGGTGCACGACACTTCAGAGAAAGCTGAAAATAATGAGAAAAAATGGTCACCGAAGAGATTAGAATACAGAAAAACTTAATTTGACTGATCGGAGTGGTGGGGGAGCAAAGGAAAGGTGGCTATGTGCTGCTGGCATTAAAGTTCTATGCACTTGGTTTCTTGCCTATGCAATCCAGTCTTTCAATTACAATGAGCTTCATGATTGCTGTTGAATTCTTAATTGTAAGACTGCAAATGGAGGCATAAGAACAACCCGCTGTTTCAGGTGATCAAAACTATGGCAGAAAAATCTTGCGCTGCAGACCCCAAGACATATAACCAGATAGAGTTTAGTGCGCTATAAAAAACTGCTAAAATCATTTTTCAGTGATCTGACTTGGACAGTGTGTTCACACCAGCAGTGGGCACTACTACCTGGCCGCTGGTATGCGTGATTAGGGAAGCAGTGCAATGTGCCGATTCCAGCGCATCGCATTGTTACCTTTTTTTCCCCTAAACTTTAAACCACAGTGGTTTAAACTGACTTGATAGGGAACCAGGCTAATTGCCTCTGTTTAGGCATTGGAGCTGCACGGGGCAAGGCTGCCCGGCACAGTACAACACATCTGCTGTAAATCGATCCTAACAGGTTCATTCTGACATTAGAACCCTAAAAAATACCTGGCACTTCCAGGTATGGGAGAAAACATGACACTTCCCCTGCCACCACATATAAGGACTCGTCAGCTGCAATATGTTACCTTTTTCCAGAAAGTCTTTCAAAGTATAAACAACCTGTAGCAAATTCTGAAGGTCACTGCTCAATTTTACAGTTACTGTTACTAAATTCCAAATAATACTAACAATGCAACCACACACTACCATCAGACAACTATTTAATTGTTTTACAAGAGTACATATGCACATTTAAATCCATTACGTCTTTCCTTGATAAAGAAAAAATATATCCTAGGGTGCAAATGACAACCTCTCATGCTCTCTTTACAGCGTAATAATTGGCTTTTTAGTTAAAGCACATTAAACAATCAATAAACAAGGGGAAAAAAAGAGGAAGAAATGTGGAATTTACATTAACCCTTGTCAAGAGAGGACTTGCACTTATTTAACTAAACTAGCTCACAGCAAGAGAAATCTGTAGGTAGAGCCAATCAAGGGTACTATTCTCATGAGAGAGAGAGTGAGGGAGAGAGTGAGAGTGTGAGATTGAGAGAGAGTGAGTGAGTGAGTGAGTGAGCGAGAGAGAGAGTGAAATTGAGAGAGAGTGAGTGAGAGAGAGGGAGGGGGAGAGATTTTTTTTTAATGCAACCAATCGATTCATCGAAAATAAATAAATCGGGCAACTAATGGATTATGAAAATAATCGTTAGCTGCTGCACTAAAGGATATGGAACAGCTGTTTGCAAAGGGTCCAAGCATGGCAAGTCTACGCAATCCTCGCAGGACCACAAATGAAAGGCTATTCCACTAAACTGATTAAAGTGGTAAACAATCTTTAAGAATTGGATTATAACTACAAATAAATAAACCTTTATAACTCCATGTTATAAAAACGAATAATAAAAGCAAAAAAATGTTGAACACAATATTTGCATATCCACTAAACATGTACAGTATGAGCCAGAGGTCACAAGTATATATAAGCACTCACAATTGTTACAATTTGCAGAAAGATGCCGGAAGAAAACCCATAAAATGTAGTCATGGGTATAAAAACAAAAAAGAAACCTGGCAATGCTCTCCTAATAAGGGTGACCAAGATGTAAATATGAGTGGTGGCTATATGAAAATATATTTACAGGATTCCTCATTAAGTCTTCTAACGAATTAATTAGAATTGCCTTTAAAGGCTAAATTTGCTTTTAACAAACTTGTACTGCGACTCCCCCGCGCTCATTAATTTTGCTGATGATAGAACAGCCCTCGAATGTAAACAGGCTAAGCTTCCACTTAGCCAGAGGCTGCTCAGGACCATGACCATATAAACATTGAGCCTGCACGGGTTGTGGCAGTGAAAGCTTGGTTTGTTAGCATCGGTTGTGTACTAGTATTAGAAACTTTAATGAAGAGGGGGACCCAGAGCAAGTAGACAAATCCCGAGTTATGACCTCACTGGCAGCATACTTATTCCAGGTCAAAGACTTTGATGTATTTGAAGCCATAGACAACTGGGCAAACTGAATTCTCAGAAGGAATTCAGCAATAACAGTCCACAAGTTTCCCTCAGTACACATTTCATTTCTTATATACGTGTAGGGTCTTTAGGCTAGCTAAAGGCAGTGTATAATGAAACAATACATAAGGCGAAAGCCTAGTGAGCACAACTGACTTGTCAAAACAATTTCATGGTATTTCATCAAACTGCTATTGGAGCTGCATGTGCTCTGTACACTTACTGTGTAATTTGGGTTCCCAGGCTGTATCCTCAGCTCTGCCAAGATCCAGATGCCATTGGTAAGTTTTAGGGACTGGTACAACATGTCCTGCCCTTCCACGTTCCGCTTGGCGATAGTGTAAACATTGTTGTTCTGCAGCTTACTGGAAACAGCGTCTAAAAAGAAAATGACGCAGATAGTCAAATGCATTTGATTTATTTATGCACATACAATGTCTGACCATTATACATGAATACAACAGAAACCAGCTCTATGAAAGGAGTCATTTCCTGAGTATGATTTGTCTGCAAAGCAGTATGAAAATCCTTGGAGCGGGAAGCAGTTATGCAAATATGAAGTGCAATCACAGCAGTAAGAATTGCTGCTACTAACACAAAAAAGGAAAAAGGAAAGTTTTTCTTTTGTATACATCATGCCAAAAATGAAAATATGCTGTTGTAAAGGTTTTGAGTAAATATTACTAAAACTGTGAAATTGTATTTCTCCAAATATTCACTGGGGAGCACAGCAAACCTCTGAGGTATAAGCCCTGCCCATAGAAGATTGACACACCTGTTACAGTATCTTGAGTAGGTTTGTGTCTAAAGTATATTAATAAGGAAACCTGGGAGGAGAGCAACAAGCAACCTGTAATTGATGTTTTTTTTGTTAAATCTGTGAGCTCTGCAGCCATCATCCTGATGCTGTTTGACTTCCCACTGAGTTACTGAGGAAGAGTAGGACAGTTCAGACTTTTCCAACTTTGCTGGATACATGCTTGTTCCAAGTAAGTGACCCACTAAGGTAGCAAAGCTAGGATAAAGATGACAGGCCCTGTAGTTTTAAAGTCAGCAGTGTCAGCTCCCATAATTCTGCGCTCACAGATTCACTTTAAAAAGTTTTCCATTACATTGGCCATGAAGAGGACTCTCAGCCCAGACAATGTCATTCTCATGGTGTACTTGCACTTCAGCTGTAAATACTAATAATGTGGAAAAACATGACCTGTCTTATTTTCTCCTGTACAAACCCTGGCCCCAAATACTGTGAGGCCGATCCCATGTTTGTAAAAGAAACTGAAGCATCCAAGTCATGTCACACGTAATGTCAGTCTCCCTCCTCGGGAGTACTAGCAATATTCACAGTTAACTCTAAACTGATGGACCTGTACAGGCTTTTACAGTTTCGCCTATGGACAATCTGGGGTACCGTAATTGTTTACCATTTCATGGGCAAGAGCAATTTTTAAGCTTGGGATATTGGGTATATATTTTATATTTAACAAAAAAGTGGGTATTATATCATACTTTTTGCGGCTCCTTGTATTTCTTGTCCCTGGGTACTGGTCCTAATGTCTACTCTTAGGGTGACTCCTTTCCCTTCTAGGGTTCCATGGAGCCACCGGTGCATGCACGGTCCTGGCTGGTGCTATGGACTGCGTCCATAGAAAGAGACAGTCCTGGCAAGAAGCCACTCTCCTTTCACCTCTACTCCCCGTGAGAGATATCCAGCAGTTGGAGCCTGCACAGTCCCTAGTACACTGTTTATGTGAAAACTTAATGAGCGTGGTCCACTACCAGGAAGTTCGGTGAAGCACCGCTGTGGACATGCGGATGGCGGCGGTGAACAGGAGGGTATGTTGTGTTTTGGCACACTTAGACCAAGAAACAGTAAGTACTGTGCCGTGTTTTATTTGTTGCCTGGAATGCATTTAGCTTAAAAGGTAGGTGTTTCATATTACTTTAAGTGTATTTTTTTAACTGAATTTTGGGTTTCATAAAGAGTTGCACTAATATCATGAAACATAAAAATTTGCAACTGCCACCATTTTATTCTACAGGGTCTCTGCTTTCATTAAATATATAATTATTTGGTGTTTAAAGTAATCTTCATGCCCTAAAATGTGGATTATAAGATGTGTGCAAAAACAGCTCCGGCATAGTTTGGGAACAGGTGCACTTAAGACAGCAGTACAGAAACGATCCAACAGGTAAAACATTTTTCACTCCCTGTACACAGGCCTCCAATCCCAGCACCACTTATCTAATGGGAACAATACCTATCCATCCCAGCCACAGTGTTTATTCCCCAAAGAAGAGGCCGTGTGGTCTGTAATAGACATTCTGAGCAATGTGCTTCACTTTTCACACAGGTTCTGAATTTTAAAGACCACATTTTAGCTCTTTTTCTAGAGTTTAGAGTCACATTTGAATAGCTGATTTCTTAATAAATTCAATTAAATATGAATGAAAGCACAAAGTACTAACAAAGAACAGAAAAGCCCGAATTAGAAAGCCATTGAGATGCTATTTGTGTTCTAGTGTGGATCAGTAAGCCAGTGAAAATTATGTATAAATTAACATTACACAAACCCCTAAAGGGTATTTCCACTTAGGCAGCCAAATATGAGAGCCCCCTTCTTTATATGTTTATGTGTTCAAAATTAGGGCTGCAGCTAATGATTATTTTCATAATCGATTAGTTGGCCGATTATTTTTTTCGATTAATCAGATAAAATGAAGAAAAAAAAATGAATACCTTAATTTATTTAAAATAAAATACAGAAATGCATTGTTACAGACATAAAGTTTACTTAAGTAAAAAAGGTTTGCAATTTTTAAAAAATCACACTGCACTGGAACACAGGGCATTGCAGTACCACTCGTTCCAGTGCGGGTGATCACACTTCGGACGTGAGGTGTTTTTGGCATCCATTGAAATGAATGGCACCGCAATGCACCTCCTGCAGCAAAATTTGTCAGGCCGAAGCTGAAAATGACTTTTCCCACGGGGCAGAGGAAGAACGGGGCAGCAGCAGAGGAACAGGGGGGCAGCGGTCTCTCCTCCCCGCTGGTGCCGGCTGGAGTGGTCTGTGTCCCTGCTGCCTCTGCCAAAACAGGCGGGGAGAGCAGCGGGGATTGAAAGGGACCACTACAGCAAGAACCAGCGGGGTGGAGAACAGGGGAGTAGTGGTGGCGGATTCAACTAAACAAAAATCAACTAATCGATAATGAGAATCGTTGTCAACGATTCTCATTATCGATTATATTATTATTGGAACGCACAGCAATCGCTCACAAAACGTCCCCATTCGTTCTGGGACGGGAGAGGGCGTGGCAGGGCAAGTCTATGGCACTGCAGCCACGCCCCCCACAGTGCGATCGGATGCGTGGCAAAACATTGCCTGCGTTCCGGTCTACTGTGAACGTAAAAAATAGAACATGCAGCATTTTGTGCATTCGCAGTGGACCGGATTGCAGTGCGGGCGGGGCTATGGTGCCATGGACTTTAATGCACCATCACGCCCCCTCCCGCCCCAGAATGAAGGGGGATGTTTTGTGAGCGATTGCTGTGCGTTCCAGCAGCTGCCTCTCTGAAATGCACAGCAATTGGTGTAAATGGGCCCTAAAGGTTCATTACCATACAATGTCCACAAGTCTTTAACTTGTTAGCACAGACCGTCCTGCTCATTTAGTTTACAGCTGATAATAAAATCTGCCAGGACAATACAGACAGGGTTAGTCATTTGAAACAAAACTCCTTCCGACCACCCTGACAGTGAGAACTAAGCAGGATTCTTCAGTTCTGGAGTGTGCAGAAACAATCAAAAAAAAGAAAAGCTGCAAATTTTCATTTCTTTTCAGTTTTCCTATGTGAATGGGAACATGTAACAAATGTAAAGTAGGTGTTATGCCAATTTGGATGGAAAAGTGGAAATACATTTTAAATGACATGTAAACCAGGGAATTTATCTGTGAGGAAGCTCAGGTGATATGTAAATAATAGTTTCCCAACTATGATCATGTCAGTGAGTATTAACAAACATGCAGAATGGAGATCTGACATCCTTAGATATTAAGGGAAGCTTGTTTCATATCTGTATCATAAAAATCGAGATCCGAATTTAGGCACCCTGCCAAATTCATTTGATTTCAAATCCATCCATTAGTGGCTTAACTTAACATGTGCTTAATTTATTGTATTTGTAGTTTGCATTTCATTGTATAGGTAAAAGGATGCGTGCAGATGTGGTTAAAGCTCTGCGTTATCCATGACTTGTAGGGACATGCAATTACATAAGCGGAAAAGCACCATGTGTTCCAGTCTGGCTTACTGTAGATTTATAATAGCGTGTGTCATTGCATATACATGTCAGCTTTTGCAGGGAAGGTGTAATTTCCAAGGAGATACAGCCAAGCCATGTCACCCCCCTGCTGCAGGCCAATAGATGTCACTAACAGTAAAAGATTTTACTCCTGAAGGTTCAGAGCACTTGCTATGGACCCTGCATAGTGCAAACACTGCACTGCCGTGGATGTCTTTCTTCTCCAGTCACAAAAACAGCAATAAATTCCCTAGGAATCCATGGGTTAATAACTCTTTCAGATGTAATGCCAGCAGATTGTCACATGACCTGTGCTATTTTTAGCAGCCATCCTCTCTCCTGTGTACTCTCTCTCTTTCTGCTAGAGCAGAGCCACTGAACTGGAATCAGCAGTGATTCTTTCGCAAATGCTCACTACTCTTCATCTTGTTACAGGGAAGAGGGCAAACAGGTGGAGACGAATAGACTGCACACACGTACACGTGTAGGAAAGCAACAAATGAGGGTTCAAGATATTTTAATACAATGACAACTGGTCGATGATGGAAGAAAACAGGATGTTATGTGACAAGTGATTGCTAGTAAAGGAAATACATCTCTGACAGTCAGCATCATTTTAATTTTTCAAACGTAGTTAGCACAAACAAGGGTAAGGCTGTCCTTGTAGAAAGATTGATTTAGTTATGCTTGTTTACTGTCATGAGTGGGATTGGTGACACAGTTTGCCTCTCCAAGATTAAGTCAACATACTGTCCTTTTGCCAGTCTGCATAATTATAAAATCTGCACAATTTATATGGGCAGCATTGCAGACAGAGAATCCCTTTTATAAAGGAAACCTATATTGCGAGAAACACAGGACTTGTCATTGCACACCTCCTTTAAAAGCAAAGTCAGAGCTGCATGCTTCTTCCAGGTCAGTGACCGAGAACATATTGTAGCTACTGAATTACTAGGATGGCCAATGAACTAAGATTACAAACGAGGTCAGCAATGGCAACCTCCGTATTTTTAGCTTTAAAAGCGTACACAGCATAAATCGTCATTGGCTAACCTGATTTGGTTATGCAAGAGTTGACGAAAGCATAAGGTGTTTCTAAAGTTGAAACATTTCTTTTTAGTTTTGGATAGAGTGGTGAGGGGTTAGAACCCACTTCAAGTTTTCCATTATAATACTTTTATGTTTTAAAATGTGAAAAATTATTACAGGCATTCCTCACTTAACGACCGAGTTCCGTTCCTACGACCAGGTCGTTAAACGAATCGGTCGTTAAGTGAGGAACTCTATACAGTACTGCATTAGTACAGTACTGTATAGCGTTGCAGATGTACAGTACCGAACAGTGTACTGTACATCGGCAATTAAAATACTTACCGGGACCCGCAGTGAAGATCGGAGGATGTCACTTCCGCCGGCGACACGTCGCACTGACGCTGACACGCGAGGTCGGAGGTCGCTCGGCGGTCCGTCGTAAGTGCGAGTGGTCGCAAAGCAGGTAAGTCGTTAACCGAGGAATGTCTGTATTGTGACAGTAACAAGTATAAGTACAGAGATCAGATGCAACAATTCAAATGCAAAGTACATACATCTTAGAATGTTGTGTAAATACAGAAGGGAAGGCAGAACTGTCTATTATATATATATTAGGGATGCAGCGATACCGATAATAGTATCAGTGCCGATACCGAGTATTTGGCCGAGTACTCATACTCGTCCAAATGCTCCAGATGCTTACATGCAGCATGGAGCCGGCTTCCCAGCCAATCAGGAAGCCAGGTGGTGAGTCATTACACGTCCCCCTCTTTCCTGATTGGCCAGAAAGCCGGCTCCATGCTTCCTCGTCACCTGGTGACGAGAGAGCATGGAGAAGGCTTCCGGGGTAATCAGGAAGCTGGGTGGCGAGTCATTACAAGCCGTCCGGCTTCCTGATTAGCCTTAAAGCTGGCCCCATGCTTCCTCGTCACCTAGTGACGAGAAAGCATGGAGACAGCTTCGTTGCTAATCAGGAAGCCGGGTGGCAAGTCATTACACACTACCTGCTTTCCTGGCTAATCAGGAAGCCGGGCAGCGAGTCATTACACACCACCTGCCTTCCTTAACCTTCTTGGCGGTGTTCCCGAGTGTGGCTCAGGGTTAATTTTATTAAGTGGTAACCCCCGAGCCACACTCGAGAAAACACAGCACGTCTCTTACCTTGTCCCTCGAGCCACGCTGTATCCTCCGGCCGATGCTGGCCCCCCTGCATCCCCTGCGAGCGTTCGCATCGCAGGGGGGCGGAACCAACGGCAGATTAAAAAGAAAAAAATGAAACAAAATCGAAAATAAATAGAACGAAAAAAGAATGAAAAAAGGAAAAAAAAGAGAAAAAAATCATACCGCCAGGGAGGTTAATGGGACTTCCGAAATTGGTATTCGATATCAGCGAGTACCAAAAAAAAAATATCAGTACTCGCACTCGGTAACAAAAAAACTAACGGTGGATCCCTAATATATATACATATATGCACACACAAACACTTCGAACAAGAGGAAACATATAGCTTTAAGATGAGAATATTCTTAATGAACCATTTTCATAATGGCAATAAAAATGTTTCCGCTACAATTTTGGGCTTATTTGTAATCTGACATCTGTAGACCATATGAGATGAGGCTTATATCCAATAATGAATGTCATAAACACTATAGGAATATGATGTGGTATACAGGTAGGGAATAATGTGTAGGAGAAAGGACAGAAACGGAGCAGAGTGTGGGAGAGAAAAAAAAAGGAGGGGTAGGCAAGCAGAAGCACTAAGTTACATCGCTGACTGACTCAAAAGATGAAGTCAAAAGAAGTGTTGGCTGGTCTAATGAGAGGAGGCCGTGGGAGATCCATGGCGTGACAGATTCTCATACGTTTGGTATGCGAGTCAGCTAGCAAACCGGTACATTTTTCATTTATCATAAACCTATGTATTCTTTTTTTAACTTCTGAATATGGAAAAGCCTGTTTTTTTCCCATGAATGGGCAATGGTTTGCTTGGCTGCCAGTAGAACAAAGTTGGTGAGTTTACACTAGTACATATTTAGTTGTTCTGAATTGTTATACAGCAATGCATGCCATGGGTCCCCTCTGATGGTGGCATGGGACAAAGTTGATAGGAGTCTGTACATTTTTTTCTAAAACCTGATTGCAAAGGGGCACGACTACACATGACATCACCTGTGACGTGACAGCCTCTAAAACAGTTATTGGGGTGAAAAGAACTGAGAGGGCTATTCTATAGGGAACAAGATACCACGGGTGAGGACCTTATAGGGCCACTTTCTGGGAGGTGATATTGAGAGAGGAGAGCATGTGGACATTGTTGCCCAAATTTTGTCCAACTTTCCAGGAAACTTTGACCGCTGGGGTCTTGATGCTATTTAGATAGAGTTATGGTCAGTGAAAGATGATAAAGAGATAAGGAAAAAATATAAGTTTGACATACTGTGAGGGGAATGTATCAAAACTGGAGCAGACAGACTGCATAGCAGTTGTCCATGGCAACCAATCAGCTTCTCTCTTCAGTTTGTTCAGTTAAGATTTGAAAATGAAACAGAGAGGCTGATTGGTTGCCATGTCTGCTCCAGTTTTGAGAAATTCCACTCCGTATGTTTTAGAAAATTGGGGTTGTTGTTTTTGAAAAACGTTAGATGAGTGTTGTTTGCCTGCCTTGTCAAATATAAATTTCTGTCCTTTTCTCCCCTGGAGATTCACAGGGCAATATTCATCAATAAAGTGGCAGTCTTTGCATGTGTTAATGTGCCCCAGTGAATGTTTGATGGTGGAAAGCCCAGGGTGAACTTGCTAATCTCATAGAATGCGATGTGACTGCAAACGGTAATTCTTGGGGCATGATAATGTATGTTTAGATCTTAGTTTGCTGTATCAAGTATGAGATAATACCAAATGTGTATACTCTACAACTTACATGTGACCTTTAGTAGCCCCTAAGCACCCTTACTACATCCAAAGAATGAAAAGCAATTTCCTTAATTGGGATTAAGCGATGAGAGCACAATGTCTTCAATCACGTGAAAGACCAATACAACCTTAGGCAGAAAGGAGAGTCTTGGATGCAAAATGACCTGAATTTTTATTTAAGGCCAAAAATGGAGGCTTGCAAGGCAATGCTGCCAGCTTTGAAACTCCCCAAAGTAATGGCTAATAGGAATGCCACTTTCTGAGAAAGTGTTAACAGTGGAATCTCCCTCTCCCTAATATCTTGGACAACAATGACAATACCAGGTCAAAGTCCCACAGTGGTGATGGTGGCCTAACTGGAGGGGCGACATGATGCCCAGGGGACGCTGAAATATGTCTGCCAAACCTGACACCTGCCCCTTAATTGTGCTCAAGGTAAACCACTGTTCCACCACGTGTTGGAGAAAGTCAGGATATGGGCAACAAAAAAAAAGAACAAGAGTATACCCCTAGGGACTTACACCATGCAAAATAAGTCTTCCAAGTACAGTAACAGACCAGGGGTGTGGAATATGGGTTGCCCGACGACTTGGACATGCAGTTCCAGGCGCTGGGCAGGTGTTTTGTTTTTTTGTTCTACATTTAGCCCTATTGCCATCCTCTGCAAGCCAAGTTATCAGATGATCACATCTGATAACCCTCTCTAGAAGAAGGGCCCACTACAGACCTTTTCAACTGAGAAAACCTGATTGCCAGTTTTCTACCCCGGTGTGTGTGTGGGACAGCGGAATTGTGTCCAGCAAAGCAGGGCCCATCTGACTGCCCATCAAATGTGCAATCTGCAATACCTTTTCCCTGGCTCAATGTTAAATCTTTTATTAAAGCACAACCAAGGGCTGTTTATGACCAACACTATTCACTGATAAGTCACAGCACTACTGTCAAAATATTAATTTGTGACCAGAAGTCTTTCTTTAGTGATGAAATGTACTCCATAAATGTCAATGCACACTTCCGCTGCCCAAGTCAGTATGGCGTGGTAGAAGGGATTATGCATGTTAGAACATATCAGGTTGCCCTTCTGTTATCAGCAAAACTACATCTCCCATAATGCTGTGCACTATGGAAGAACATAAGCGTGGTCTAGCAGGTGGGGAAAGGTAGAAATAAGCTTGGTTACATATGGGGGTTGCTAGTGGGGACTAGGATGAAAGAACAGTGCGCTGTAATATCATTGCAAAGAGCTGTAGTTCTAGGGAACCCAGCCAATGCAATGGGTGACAACATTACAGCTGTAACACCTGATGAAAGGAAGTGAGGAAAGAGCCTTGTTGATGCACATATCAAATTTACCGTTTTGACATTTCTAAACAAGCTAGTCAAAATAATCAACACTACATTACTTGACTTGTCACGCTGCATTATATTTTTATATTTAGTTGTAGACCATAGTTCTACTTTAAGCATCCATTGCCTGGGTCTTTATTGTGCTTTGCAAAAACAGTCATGTCACCACTGTACAGCAAAAGCAAGCAAACAGCAGATGCAATATAATGCTTTGGAAAATGGGATGTTGAACATAGGCCAAACGGACACTTGCATGCAGAACACGTGGTCCTATTAGTACAGTGCCAATTGCAGCAGGTGTATTGACAGAGGTATATGCCATTTACTTATGCATGTTTTAGGCTTAGTACAGATAGAGCACTTACTCCAGATTTTCACAGATCAGCAGAAGGGCTGATACACAAGTGCAGTCGGTGCAGCAAGGGTACTCCAGAGGTTTATAGCATACGTATCCCCTGTTCCCCCCAGCTGCTCATTGGGTAATATTATTTTCCAACACACTTGTAAACTCTACAGCTTTATATAAATGTTAATTTTCAGTCTACCGATACCAGCAACAGATGTTGACCGCAAACAGCGAACACAGATTATTCACCTCACGTGAACTATCAGTCTAGTAAGAACAATTGTAACTAACCTGCATTCAGATGGCACTCCTTGATCTGGAACTGTAGCTCATTTTCATTAGGTATGTCTTTCCAGGTAGCCAGGAAAACTTGGCGCTCTACATAAAGAATAGACAACAAAGAGTTTACTGTCTGTAAGAGTTGTAAATGAACAAGACACTAGCATGGCCATTTGCAGTTGCAGGTGTAGTCATTCAGCTCTCAGGTGGGTTATGTCAAAGAATAACCTAGAACCAATCCCCACCCCCCAAAAAGAAAATACTACAAAATTAAAATCTGTAGTATAGCTGAAGTGATTCTGTAGTAATTTGCCCCAAACATGTCTCACAATCGGCCACTAAGTATACCCATCACATTGAAGAACCAATAGTATGGTACTTGATGAAGCAGCTTGGATGACTTCCGAGACGGAGTCAGTTTCTGAATAACAAAGAATCCTGGATTTTGGCTCCCAAGGCACTCTAGAAGAGAACTAGGGATATGTGCTGGCCCCTCTAAAGACAGTGCCTGCATTTAACAATACGGTGAGATGGCGTTTTCTGTTGTTTTTACATCCCTGCAGGTTTATGGTCCTTACACATCTCCCCGCCCGGCTCTTAGCAACCTGGGATGCTCTGGCTGGAAGAGGGGAAGCAGGCACATTGCAAACATTGTGCAGCAGAGCGGCCATGCTGCTCTGCCTGCCACCTCCCCAGGTAACCCAAAAAGATGCCGCCTGAGGCAATAGCCTCAGGCCGCCTCATTATTGGGACGGCCCTATGTGCATGTATTCAAGAGATGTAATGAATGTGAATTTTTCTTTATTTTATTCTGATACACACACTAGAATATGAATAATATACCCCATACATATACACACACTGTATATATGTGAGGGGTCAAGACACTTGCAAGCCTGTTCAATCAGCTACTTGTCATTTGCAAGAATAAGCGTGACAGCCTTGGAGCCTGCACCTTCATTAACAAGTCAGCAATTGAAGCTTCCATATTTGTATACATACAGGTTTTCATTAAGTAATGGTATGTAGCTACAGTGCTACCTTTTAATATAATATAATTTGTTTAAGTGAAAGCAAGAAGACAGTTGATGCAAATGGTATGGCATTTACTTTACCACTGTACATAAACATTAAAACCACACAATTTCTGCTTAGGACTTGGACACCTTGCTGTTACTGCCCCCAGCCCCGTGTGTATGTTTGCAAAGCAGGCGAGCATGAAGGTGCACATAACAGGGCTTTGGTGTCAGTAACAGGTCAGATTATCAAGACAAACAATAACAGAAATAACTTCTGCAGAAAATGATTCATCCTGCGTCACAATAGATTCGAGACCAATGTCTCTTTAACCCACATTCATTGTGAGGGCACTCGGTCATTTATAATGGAACTTGAATTAAGCCATTGTAAAGCTAGATGTTACACAACGCCTGGATTCTAAAAGTTCACATTCATGCAACCAGTTTCCATAGCATAGTTCAGCCTACAAGCCATTGTCGTCTATTTGCTGTTAGAAGCATAGATCACAGTCATTTTGCTAGAATGCCTAAAGACCTAGTAGAACTAAATGACAGGTTTGTCTACATAAAAATAAAAGTTAAAGCGTATCTAATGCATTGCAAAACTTTTTTTTTTCTACTTTTGGATATTAGAGAGAGGTTCAAACTCCTATTTTTTCCTGTGTTTTGTTTCCCTTCCCTTCTTTCCCTATCCCAGAAGCACAATAAGAATTAAGAGGAAATCTCTCCAGAGTGAAAGCTGTTCCTCCACTGGAAGATCTCACCTCCTGTACCAGTGACAATTCTAACATTTGGGACTCCCCATCCACGTTTGTCTCAGTGACAATGGTTACCAGAACAAATAGAGGGTGAATCTCCAAAGGAAGAGCACACGCACACAAACCTAACAGAGGTTTAAATTCTAACCTGCTCTGAGGGGAATTTATCAAAACTGGAGCAGACAAAATCTGGAGCAGCTGTGCATGGCAAACAATCAGCTTCTCTCTTTCTTTCTCTCGTTCAAATCTTAATTGAAGATAGAAGCTGATTGGTTACCCTAGGCAACTGCCCCAGATTTTGTCTGCTACAGTTTTGATAAATTCCCCTTTGAGTGTTTTGGCTAGAGACACATTTTAACTTAAAGCTTTTCTCCCCTGGAGCTATCCCCAGCAGTACGTTTTGGCAAATTATTTGTGTGTGTGTTAATTTTCCATTTATCGAAAAACAAACAAGACAAAAACATACAAAGGTGCAAAATAGAAGAAATACATCAATCCAAAAGCACAAATAGGTAAATAAATTATCAATACTGCAAAACATCCACTGCATGGAAAGATGCGAGCACTCAAAATGCAAAGAACATAAAGTACAGCATATTGTTAATACAATACTGCGCTCACAAAGAAATACAATGAGCAGCATTGCCCAAATGCTACTGTATAAAAAAAACCATGGGAACCCCTTCACCCCACCACTTGCAGCTAATACCTACAGCCAAATCCCATCATCCAGGAAAATCCTAGTGGGGAAAGAGAGGCCCTACGTAAGTGTGGTATCTTGGACTGAAAAAGAGAAGAAGTACAAGACAAAACAGAAAAAAGGATAAGCACAGAAAACCAAAAAATAAAAGGAACAGCCATGGTTTATCCCCCAGGGCCCCACCACCTGCAGCCCTTCAAGAGAATGTAGCAGACAAAAATTCCTAAAAATACGCAGGGGTCAAAGTGTAGTGAGATCAAGGCATCCAAGTGGATTCAAATTTCTCCTAGGAGTTGTGCAAGGAAGCCGTCATGTCCTCCATGCGATAAATTTAATCCACCACCAAAAACCATAAACGGAAGGAAGGAAATGCCCAATTTGATACGCACGCCAACTGTCCAAAAGACAGGGAAAGCAAGTTTCGAATCACCTCCTGCGACATCCCAGTCTGCGATTAAATCCACCATACGGACCCTGCATTCAGGCAACAAGCTGCAAATATTACCATTGTCCAATCCTGGAGGAAAGTCAAGATCTCCTATCACAGGCGTCGAGGGAAAGGTCAGAGGTCCCCCTAGATGTCTCTAGAATGTCAGAACAATGGTAGGGTGAGAGAGAACCGAAGAGTGGGGATCGGGGAAGAGTGTCATGGCAACCCACTTAAAGGGGCACGAGATTCCCAGAACTCCATAGACACCCATCCCTTACATTGAGAATGACAGCACCAATCCACCAGATGATTAAGATGGGACGGGGATGTTTACGTGCCCACACAAACCCAAGGAAATGCCGGCGTACCTGAGAAAAAAAGTGGGAAGGCAGTGTGATCAGGAGAGCTTGCAACATGTATAGGATCCTTGGAAGCACCATCATCTGGAAAGCAGCACAGCACCCGAACCATGTTAAGGTAAGTTCCTGCCACTGAGATAAATCCCCATTGATCTTAGACAGTAAGGCAGCAAAATTATCTGCATACAGAGGCGAGAAATCCACGGCGATATGCGTGCCCAACAGCTTAACGTAACGAGACGCCCATCAAAAGTGGTAAGATTCCTGAAGCTGGAATAGCACCGAAGAGGGCAAAGGAATATTAAGTGCCTCTAACTTGGAAGGGTTCATCAAAAAGTTAGATAGACTACCATAAACTTTAAAGGCACGTAGCAGCACAGGAATAGAAGAATGGGGACGAGATGAGAAAAAAAAGCAAGTCTTAGGGCTACGCCGCCAACTTTTGTGGACCCGAGGGCATAGACACTCCAACTAAGGAGTTATCCACCCTAATTGTGCACAAAAAAGGCTCCAACGACAAAACAAAAATAAGTGGTGACAAGGGGTATCCTTGCGGGGTGCCATTTGAGATGGGAAAGTAATCCGAACGCGTTTCATTGATGTTAACCGCAGCAGTGGGGGAAGAATATAAAGATGAAATCCATGAGCACATACTGGCCCCCCAGTCCAATATGCCGAATGGTGGACTGGGCGAACTTACAGTCCACCCTGTTGAAAGCTTTTTCCATGTCGACAGATAAAAGCATCGACAGTCAAGCATATTTACAAGCGGAATGAATTACATTCAAAACCAGGATGGTATTGCCATGGGACGGAATAAATCCAACCTGTTCAAAATGGAAGAGTACCAATATAAGGCAAGATGCGGTTGGCCAATATTTTAGCGCACAACTTGAGGTCCACATTAAAAAGGGCAATCGGACGGTAGTTGCAGCAATTTTTCTTTTTAGATTTCCCATTTTCAGAAGTCTTTAGGTCAGTCATGTGATGTGTTAGGTCTTCTATAGTCTTTTTTGGTGGGTGGTCCTCTAATCATGCAGAGAGTGGTGCTGATATGACAAGTTTTCACTTGCATAAAACAGCTCCCCTGCTTTACATTTAGCCCTGCTTGCCTGCAGCAGAGCTAAATGTAGAAGAAAAACACCTGCCAGGCGCCCAGGAACTGCATGTCCCAGGCATCGGGCGATACGAATTGCGCACCCCTGTGTGTGTAGATATATCATCTATAAATGTTCCAGGATGCAAAGTGAATTCAAATAAAATGCATGCCTAAATCTCTCATCTCTTTTACAAAGTGAATCTCTATATTATTATTATTATACAGGATTTATATAGCGCCAACAGTTTGGAAGGAAGACATTACAATCATAATACAATTCAAGACAAGATGGGAAGGAGGGCCCTGCCCCTGAGGTCTTGCAATCTATATCAATATTTCTGGCTGGAAATAGTTGGTCTTTTACATCAATTTGACTATGGGGTTATGCAATAAAATGTGCATTACCCTAACATTATCACAGAGTGCCGTAACAAATAAGATGAATCCTGGTTGGTTGTAATGGGTATTGCACTGAACACCTAATTTATTGAATAAATATCAATTTTAAAACACTATTAGCCTTCTTCGAAAAGATCACATTAAGCGCATTCATTCCACGAGTTTCCACAGTGTTATCATAAAACCTGTCTACTAGCGTTACGTTTACTCCAGGTAAACAATCTCAAAGGTTCAAGAGGCATTCGTGCCTGTCAATTTAAACTTGGTATTAAAGCCTGATGCTTTAATAATTAATTTGTTTTCTCCAAAACTAAACATCAATGGCTACTACTTTTTTTTTTTTTTACAAAAAAACAAATGTACATTTAGAAGGTACACATTTTATGAGATACGTAAAGTGTATTTCCACTTTTGCTGCCAGTTGGGGATACCACCTAATTTATATTTGTTACATGTGCCCATTTAGATAGCATAACTTTACAAATATTTAAAAGTTGCTGCTTACCTTTTCATTTGCCAAAAATTTTTCCATAGCTTTCCACTACTATGTAATGCTGCTGGGAAGCAATGTTTCTGCACCTTCAGACCTCAGAAAGTGAGTGATACATTCCATGCTAATGCACTTAAAATAAACATGGTACAGATGGCAGGGGTTTCTCAAATTTGACTGCAAAGGTACAATCTACACTTCAGGATAATCTAACACACAGGGTAGTTGGCAAACAATTGCTGTTACAAAGAGGTACATAATACAGACACTGGCAAACCCTGGCACCCCTTTTGCGCTTGCAGCCCCTGCCATTGGCTGTAACTGACAGCTCCCTAGGCTGTAATTTACAAATTCTGACCCACCCACCTGCGTGATGTCACATAGCCTGGTTCACGATAAGGATATGAGTCGCAGTGGATTCAGCCTGACCAAAAGCTTCACCGAAAAAATTCCATTAATTCATATATCCCCTCTGCACACCTAAGCGTTTTGTTGCAATAAGCAAACTGCCTGTCGCCGGAAAAGGTACATGAGCTTCTTTTTGGAAGATCTCAGCTCCTATTGGCCCGATATACTCAATAGGAAACGCTTGAAAACGTACGGTGCAATACGTTTCTCGCGTTTGTACGTGCGTATGCATGCGTTCTGTCCATTGACTTTAATGCATCACAATTTGCTCCTAAAAACATGCGTAATTAATATATGCATACGAAAACGCTAACGCTTAGGTGTGAGTCCGGCCTAATGTGTGCGAGAAGCCCGCCTGCATGCCTACTGTGGTACCTGAGGGTATAGGGTTTCGGGCCTATGTGAAGTCTTAAGGCGCATGCAATGGGGCTAATCTGAGGTCTGTAGTGCATACACTGGGGCTGATCTGTGAGATGTGAAGGTGAATGCATTGGGTGTCATGGAATTGCATGTGTTAGAGAAACACATGTTAACATACGTTACAATGCCATCCTTCTTGACAGCAATCCAATGCACTGAGGCAACTACCCTACTTTGTGGTGTGCTGTGTTGACAAAAATTTGCTTTTTTGACATTTTGGCCTGATCTGAGGTCTGCAGGTGCAGACATTGCAGCTGATCTGAGGTCTGAAGGGCGGATTTGAGGGTTAAAGGGGCATAAATTGGGTCTGATCCAAGGTCTAAAAGCGCATGCATTAGGGGTGATCTGAGGTCTGAACGTGCAGGAATTGGGGTTCATTTGAGGTCTGATGGGTCATAAATTAGGTCTGATCTAAAGTCTGAAAGCGCATGCATTAGGGCTGATCTGAGGTCTGAAGATGCAGGAATTGAGGCTGATTTGAAGTCTGATGGGGCATAAATTGGATCTGTTCTAAGGTCTGAAAGTGCATGCATTAAGGCTGATCTGTCTGAAAGCGCATGCATTGGGGCTGATTTGAGGTTTGAAGGTGCAAAAATTGGGACTATTAGGATATAATAATTAATGAGCTTAAGAACTATTACTGCAAATATCGAAAAAGAATGTACACCACAGCATGCTGTTGCTCACTAACCTTACGATTGTATAATACTTGTAAAAATGATGCTTAATGTGGAAAAGGTTGCTGACCCCTGACATAATAAGATTAAACTGACACAACACCCCTGGAAGCACAAGAGTTGTCTCTTACCCATTTTGCCATCTTCCACAAACAACACGTGTAAAGGGATGAGACAGCTGAAGTAGAAAACATCAATGTTGTTTTTCACAGCCACCTATCAGGCACAAGAGAAAACCAAGAATTAACATGTTAGATTTACAACTAGCACTAAGACCCCTGCCAACAGAGATCCAAAGGATGATTTAAAGGGTTCACAACATCTGTAAACTCTTAAGCGCTTCACTGGGCTCTTTCTAAATCATTCTCCCTGCTACATCAACAGGAATGACATGGCTACTCTTTTATATCTCTGGATTAAATGGATCTTTAAGTACTTTTCCACAAACATAAAGACATACATAAATGTATTTTCTGCTTTCAGAATAAATGTCCCCATGCATATTCACATCACGCAAATTTAGAGTCTGCAGCACTGTTGTGTTGTGGCAGTCTTGTCATGTAATCCCATGAAGGGGTTATAGCACCTGTCACTATGAATTATGACAACTCTATACAAATACTGATAGCCATGTACGCAATCCAGTGTAGTGAGCCCAGTGGAAGAACACACCCGGGAGCTAGAAGCTCTGTGGATTGAGGGGATGGGCTGCTCTCATATTAGTGAATATATAAGGGTTATGCTCGTTTCCCCATGTCGATCACAGGCCACAGGACAAAAACACTCAGGCATATCAGAAGATATATGACATTGGAACATTGTGCTCTATGCAATCTCCTTTTTCTGCTGAAGATGTGTGTATGATAATGTCAGTAATTTAGCCCCCTTAACTCAATTACATCTTGGGTAATTTAGCAGTGTCAATGTCACACTCCGCATAATAGCTGACTGGTACACAATGAGCAGACTGGAAACCTTTTATCCACAAGATCATTATGAAAGCATAATAATAATCGCTTATGGTTAAAACTTACTTTATACACATGCAAAATAGCTAATAGAAAGGATACAAAAAATAAAGTGAACCTGTGCTTTGCCCATATAGGTCAAACCAACAAGTTTGCATAGATGCACACCCACCACATGCTCCTTTGCTTCCCCATCACTCCAGTCGGTCATCTGGAAATACTGAGTACCTCCAACTAAAGCATACTTTCCCAGACAATATAATTTTTTCTGGATTCAAATAAACTGGTCCACTGGAATATATTGTGGTATGTTAGATATGTGCTTCAGCTGTGTATTTGTTTGCCTACATTTACACCTCAAGGGCCATTTCAAACATGCAATGCTGTCACCTGCAACACTTCACCAGCAGCAGAATCGTTGAAATGAAACTTTCATTATCGCTAGCCCGACCCGAAAGGTTGCTGAAATTGAATTGTTAACGAGGCAGCATCAGCGGAGAGATATAAGAGAGTTGTTGTCAGCTCACCTTTTAGCTTCAAAATGTTGTCTTTATTGATGGTCTTGCAGCATTCACTTCACACTACAAGAACGTCAATAAAGACGACATTTTGAAGCTAATAGGTGTGCTGACAACACATGTTTTATTAGTATGCTGTGGCACTATCCACAGGCTGTTCCAGCACTCAACTAAAAGGGGTATATCGTTATGGCGCGCAAAGGCGTTATTACCACGTTTTGATTGGGACAATTAATGTGTGTGTGTGTGTGTGTGTGTGTGTGTGTGTGTGTGTGTGTGTGTGTGTGTGTGGGAACAAATCATTAGTTGTCCCCATGAGGCTGCCCCCTTAGGTTCGTTGACCCCCATCTGAATGCCCTCTTACATTAGTTACTAATGTAAGGGGGCATTCTGATAGGGGCAGCAAATGTAAGGGGGCTCTCTGATGGGCACAATATCATTTAGTTGCCCCTATCAAAGTGTCCCTTGCATTAGTGGTCCCCATCAGAGTGCCCATCTGATAGGAAAATTAATGTAAGTGGGCACTCTGATGGGGACAACTAATGTAAAAGGGCACTCTAATGGGCCAACCAATTAGGGGAGCACTCTGATGGGGACAACTATTTATTAGTTGTCCCCATCACATTACCCCCTTACATTACTTGCTCCCATTAGATTGCCCTGTTACATTAGTTACTAATGTAAGGGGGAACTCTGATGAGGACACCAACATGAGATTCAGACCTCTGCTGGAAGAAACGTTTACTGACCAGACCACCTTGAATTTTAATTCAATACGCCTGCACTAGAGGTACTGCAATTCACAAACAAAATTCAGTTCTCTTCAATTTGCTCTGCTAAATACAAGTACATTCTTCACCTGCTAAAAGCCTGATTTATGGATTTTGCACAGAAATCTCTCCTCTCCATCCCCAGGCTCCATTGGCCATTTTACAGTAGAGAGCAGTCTTATTGCATGCTGGCATGAGCAAAAGGAGCATACCATGGAATGCATACAAAACCCACAGGGAAGGAGGAGTATTAATTTGTGAATAATTTCCTGGACAGGACTGTGTTGACACAGATAGTATAGATAAAGCAGAGATGTGGCGGTGTATGCTACTTTTCTTTGGAGGTGCATTTTGCTTTTTATGAAAAGTGGTTATTTACACAGTCCTGTGTACTCCGTGATCTTGAATTTCTGTATTTGACCTATATTGCCTACGGATATGTAACAGAGCTTGTAAGATGAAGAATTGATATTTATATTTAGTCTCTGTAGACACTGTCTGTCTGTGATGCCATATTCCTTTTGTGGTGTGTAAACATGATACATTAGATACATTTAGATATTATAGGTAGTACTCAGAAAGTGGTTGGGATGGTGGCACATGACTGCCCAACATTTGAGGAACCTTACTTAAAAGTGTCATGCGAACATCTTACAAATGCTATGAAAAGGATTATGGCTTCATTAATGATCAGGAATGAAAGGGGTGAGCAGATGGCTCAATGGGAATAGATGAAACAACGTTTCCATCTGAGCTTCTATTCCATACAATGAATATGCTCAAGTGGATGTGTGCCCCAGCCTTGGACGTACACAGTATTTCCTTATCACTGTGTATGCTTACAACGCCTGCTGAGATCTGGCTTCTTATTTAAATAGTAAAAGGAAAGCCAGAAGCACCAATCACCCCAATGTGCCAGTGTAGAGGATACTGTAGGTAACCATTTACAAGTTCACATGACATCATACATAAATGACAGTACTACTAAAAGCAGTTAATTACCTGGAGGTTGTTAAGTGGCTCCATCTTCATGACAGGCCCCAGGGTGTTGAGTGGGAGGGAAATGTCAATGCTTTGGTTCGGCATAAGGGGTGTATGTATAGCCAGTGGGGCACTTGGAATCATTCCAAAGCTGAGAGAACACAGAAGGGAAAAATCTAACATCACATAAACAAACTGTAGTAACACAACTCAACAGAATTTATTTAATGTGCTTGGCACATTACATAGTTAGCCATCCTTCACCCTATTTCTCCAATAGTAAGATCCAGAATTTCCAGCTCAATGAGGCATTCCCTGCTCTGAAGAACCTGCTTGTCAGCCGGCTGCACCAAATTACAAGGGGTTTAGTTTAGCCTTAGCAGAGTAAATTCTGACTATTTGTTACTGCCCTTAAGAATAAAAGCTCCCTACTGAATAAAACAAACTGAACAATAAACGCCACTCCATACAGTTCAACTCGCTATCTAAATGTTGCATTCCTTAACCTATAAATGCTTTGCAAATTCATGTCAGAAGCAGAGACAAAACACACAGCCTTGTCCCCTAAGCCCAACAGTATCCCCAAACATCAAACAGAATATGGTTAGATGGGGATAAAAGCTTTCACAATACTAGTTGTAAAATTACACTAGCACTTGGAATGTAAAAATGTAAGCTTTGATGTGTTATTTACAATGTGCCAAGTTAATGGTATTCAATTTAAATGATACGTGTGATTCAAAGTCATAATACTTAAAGTGTAAGTCCAGAAAACATGTTTTATTTTATATGGTTTTTTTTGTTTGTTTTGTTTAATATGTTTTTATTAATTATTATTTCACTTAAATACAATACAATTTTACAAAATACATATAGAGATATATATCATCTTTCTATCTCTCAAATAACATAAATTATACATATCTCTAATTAAAAAACATCTGCTCCATTTCAAACAACCTTTACTTTACCTTTCGCTACCACACAACTTCAACCACACCCACCTCTACTCTCTTCTCACATTCAATCTACAGCTCATGTCTTCTTCTGAAGGAGAGGAAAAAGTCAATATCTTAAATACACCTCTAGTGTTATTTTATCATCCCATAGCCCAAACTCCATCTCTCCCCGTCCACTTCCTTTGTATATACCTCACTCTAATCTTATTTTAATGTGCACTCGTTAAGTGATCAATACTAAGATGTCTAAAGACAAAATACTCGATTCATATTGTGTTGTTTGCCTTAATCCTCTGGTCCATCCTTCGCCCTCCCTCTAATACTTGTGTTCCTATTCTTTCTGTGGATCCTTAATCTAAAAAAAAAAGATTTTATTGGGGGTTTTAACCCCTGTCAATAAAAAGCTGACTAGGGGTCTAGCCTTCCCATACTCATATTCCCATACAAAAAACATTTTGATTGCGGATATCATCTTTTCCCGTCTAGTGAAATGTTATCAGCATGACAGGAAGTAAGGGAAAAATCTATCTAACAGAGCCCTGGAAAGCAGTCAAATTACATAGTGGTTTTAATCCCTTGCCCTCCCTATTGAGAAAAAAAAGATTTGACTGGACTTCTACTTTAACCTAAAAAAAAATACAATGAAATTACTGACAATATCCACAGGATGGATTAAAAAGTAAAATAAAAAAATAACATCAAGAGTTCTTTCTTCCACAGTTGACAGTAGTATACAAAGAACACTGATTAGCTAAAAGACTAAAAAGCGCGGTGTCTTTTAGCTAATCAATTTTCAGACGAGAGGATTTGGGTCTTCTGATTTATTCACTGCAGCTGTCATCTGGTCTACTGAGGGAACACGGGGGAGATACCACAGGGAGAAAGCGCTGTGTTTTTAAACGTTTTTTTTTGTTATACAAAGAACATTGACTGATCTAAACAGGAAATCAATCAATGTAGCATTTGTAATGTGGTTGTCCAGCATGGAAATGTGTCTTACCTGTTCTTATTAAACTGGATGGCAAAATCGGTCATGTGCTGCAGAGCCTTGTTGGTGAAGTTCATGTCCATGTGGATGTGCCCCTGCCTATGGGAAAATGTGCCTGAGATCTCCAGTCCTTTTGCTTTTACAGCAGGCAGCCAAATCTAGGAAAGAACCCATATGGCAATTACTAGTACGTTACGCAATTAGCAGACCACATCGATGTTGGCTGTATAAAATGTGTTCAAAGGGAATTAAAGTGTTTACATATTAGTGTTGAATCAGTTTTTATTAGTATTTTTTAACAGTTCCTTAACAATCAGTATCAAAACTCAAGAAGGGTACAAAAAGTACAATCAGTACATATACATCGAGGATATCAGGCTACATGAATATATGCATTGAGCAACGGTGTACTGGTGTGATCATTCACGCATTAATGGGAGGGTGACCTAGGTTCGGTCACACAATACGAAAAGCTAAGGCCTTTCTATGTTACACATTAGTCCACCATAGTGAGGAACAACACCACGATGACTGTGTGTACATTATAGATCCGGTGGGTGTCACCAGTGTATGTTCAAAAATTGTAGCTCATGTCAACATTGGCAGGTACCTTCTCTGGCCCAACATTTCAAATATCCTGATATGTCAGGAAAGTTGTAGAAAAGGAGGGGAACCGAAAGAGGTAAACTAAGAGAGGGGAGAAATGTGGAAGAAAGAAAGAGGGGGATGGAGGGGAGGGGATTAGGGGGGGAGGGAGGGGGTCACGGCTTGTGAGCTGAGGTTGTGTATCGAGACTTGAGGTGTCCCTTTCGCCCTCAGGGCATTGCACTAGAGGTAGGACTGTAGGTCGGCGGAGGAGGAAAAGTGAATCCATACACTCCATTGGGTCATGAACCTGGGAAAGGCATTAGCATCAGTCGCTATCAGTTCCTCCATAAGCATGATATCATTAACGTGGCTAACCCATTGGGAAATGGGTGGAGTACCAGCCTGTTTCCAATGTAGGGGGATCACCTGCCTAGCTGCAGACAAGATATGTCTAAGTATCATGTTTTTTTGAGTTTTCCGGGAGCCCGGCAGGAGTGACAGTAATGCTACAGCCGGTGAGGGTACTAGGGTGTCTCCGTATAAGTGATTGTAAATCGCGAATATTTTTTGCCAGAACGAGTTAATCATAGGACACGCCCACCAAATGTGGAGATACGTGCCCCTTACCTCATTGCAGCGCCAACAGGTCTCTGGAGAAGAAGGGAAGGGACAGTCCCCCTGGGCTTTGGGGCGAGTGTCTCTCCTGTGGCTGGCTCACCTCTTCCATGTGTGGGGCGTCCGAGTGTGCCGGAGATAACTCCGGCGGCGCCATCTTGGCTGCACGTGTGGAGGCAGCGTGAGAGGCCGCGGGCGCCGTCCGGGCGAAATATCGGGTCAATTCCCGCGGCACAGGCCCCTTCTTAGCCTGCTTCTTACTCCTCTTCCTCCGGTCGCTCATTGCCGGTGATCGTGGGGGAGAAAGCCGCTGCTGCCTGCAGTAAGATATGCCCCTGAGCGGGAGACGAGCCGATACACGTCTCACCGCTCCATGCGCCAAGCCACGCCCCCCCGTGTTTACATATTAAACAGAGGCATCTTCATCAGGGGGGTTTAACTGTGCTAATATTACAAATCTTATCACGTTATTCAGCTTTGATGAAGAAAGACTGTGTTACACAGGAGAGCCAATTTAGGAAAACAACCAAAGAAAAGCTGAGGTATTGCTACAACAACCAATCAAATATTATGTTTCATTTCCCAGAGCCAGTCGGAAAACAGAAGCTAAAACCTACTTGGCTGCAATTGGCTGGACTTTGCAATTTACGTAACCCAGACCCCTAGTTTTTACATAAAGATATTGGTTAACAGTCTCTGATCTACCAGATAAAATTAAAAACAGTATACATATTATGGTGTACCAAATGCTGACTATAGAAAAAAATCAATTCAACAAAAGATATTTGTCAGTTTGTAAAGAAAAGAAATCACCAAGCAGAGATAGCAATTTATTGATTCCAATTTGAATTATAATTTGGATTAGAATCTTCATCTGCTTACTTGCTGTTAAATGCATAGGCAAGAATATGTTTCAGACACAAGTGATAATGGGGTTAACCCGCACTGAGCACTATAAATGACAGTACAATGAAGTATGTATCTTGCCAGTAAATTAACTGTTACTAGTTGCATATTTCAGTGTATGTGCCTGAAGTGATGTTAACAAAAACACCCTTACTACAGACCAAGTATTCATTAGCAGGGAGAAAGGTGAGGACAGTTTAGCTCTGCCCCTGAACATTACCCATAAAGAGCTTTTCCATTTAAAGTGTATCAGGGTAAAATAAAAAATACAAAACATGCAGTAGATCTCTGCAATACAAGCACAGTTCCCCATGCTTTAGTCCTTTAAAGACTCTGCAAGTACAGAGGAATACCTGTTGATCTGCCAGAAATGCACTCAGCTCCTAATTCCTGTTGTTGGCTGACAACACACAGCATTTTTGTGGACTGACTGATGTCAGCCCTCCCAGTTGTATTTTGTCAAATTACTAAATCCCATCCCCTCTTCATAAGAACTGGGAGGACTCCTTGACATTGCAAAAAATGACCTGTTGATCATGTCGGAATTTCAAAGCTGTCCTGTGCACACTTCTTTTGCTCTTATGAAACCGTTCAAACAAAACACTTTCAGTGGTATATTTAACAGACCCACAGGGAACAAATAAGAAAAGTTTATTGTTGGGAATTACATACACTTTAAACCTTTTACAATGGAAAATACATGATTCTGTTAAGATATTGCCAACATGATTTTACTTGTTTTCCAAAGACAGTAGAAAATATGTAATCTACAATTACGAGCATTGTATGGTGTCAGGTTGGGCATTAGCTGTGTATTCAAGAACGTGTTTGGCATAACTGACCTACTACTGAATTGCAGAAAACATGGCAACTGTGTATCATATGCTCAACACTGGCATACTAGGTACTTGTTTCTATATGTGTGTCCATGGGGTAGTTAGATTGTAACATTCAGGACGGGATGGAAGGGAGGATATTGGCAGCAGTAGCTGATAAACATGACTCAGTATTTTCTGTACAGCATCATAGAAGATGTTGGGACTATATAAATGATTAAAACAAAACCGCAACATGCACTGTATTTTGCTAAACAATTTTCCCTCAGGGCACTAGCCTGTTGCGCGGACTATGGATTTTCAAAACAGTCTGTTTTAAGACAGGAGATTCCTATTTGCATATTGTCCCTGGGGTGTAACATAACAATCCCTGCCATCTCTCTTATGTATCATTCAGAAGCTCTCTCTAAGTGCAGGTAATTGACTTTAACATGTGGAAATTAAACAACTTTGCTAAACTTCACTGCAGGGGATGATTACCTAATTGTTGCAGACACTTGCTGTGCACTGCATGAAAAAGGTTAGATACATTGGGGGGAATTTATCATAGCAATAGCAAGTGTTTGATTTTGCAAATGGTCCCATGGGATATATTTGCGCCATATTTATATTGCTAGTGTAATATTGTTCATAAATGAGGTTAAATCGACTCCAGGAAAGAAGCCTTGTAACTTCAGGCAAAAAGCTTAACTGTCACATCTTGAAGAAGTGGTCATGGGGACTTCTTAAGGTGCGATTGTTTTGTTAGGTGATGCTCCAGTTTCAGACAGCCGCAGGACAAGTGCAGATGTAAACATTTGTGAACTTTCGCAAAACACGCGCAAATCGGGAAAACAGCGCAAGCTCTGGTCAAAACATGCGAACATGTTAAAAGGAGCGGCTAAACAGATTTGCACATTAAAAAAAATGATCTAAGAGGCCATAACTGTCGCAATTGCTTTGATAAATTTCCCCTATTATGTTATAATTTAATGACAAAACACCAGTAAATATAACTGAGGAATATAACTACATTCGAACGTGGTGAACTAGACTAGGAAAAATAAAGCTATGCAGCAAATGATGAGGAAATAGCTGTGATAGAAGATCTGTGGTACTTACAGCTTTTGGAACTACGAATCCCCCTGGGGCCATTCCAATGCCAGTTGAAAGTTCAAACAAATCATTGAGTCCGCTGCTGACCACAGCTGGAGTAGGCGAAGGAGCAAAAGTAGCTGGTACAGAGGAAGGAATAAATGTCTGTCCTACCTAAAAAGAAAAAAGACAAAAACACTATTTATGTAAATTTTTGTACATCTGCGTGGAATACCTCCTATTTACTTCTAACTGAAACGTCATGTTAGTAACCGGATTTCAATTGCACAGGAAATTTTATCTTTTCCTTCGCTCTGAAGCTAAACTTAAAGCCTTATCATAAATGGTAGAAGTTCCCGAAAGAAAGTCAAGGCAAACATTTGCGCAAATATTGTGCATCATAAAAAAACTGCACATAGCATTTTGTTATTCTACAGGGCCTCTTTTTGGGGGTTTTAAGCTGTTTTCTAGCTGTTTTCAATAATTCAGATGTTAAAGTGTGCAAAAATGAAAAACTGCTCTGGATGCGAAAAAGTGGTTAAATAACTTGGCAACAGTAGAGACAGCTACCTACATAATTAAATGTTATAACCCTTTAAATTTTTTGTAGCTATTTTAATATATTCTTACTTATAAATAGCGATGCACCGCTACCGGTTTTTCAGTATCGAGTAGCAATATTTATCTTTCGGTACTCGCCGACACCGAGTACAGTTACATCCGCTAGCATGGAGCTGGCTTCCCAGCCAATCAAGAAGCAAGGTGGCATGTCATTAGCTGCTGCTCGGCTTTTTGATTGCCCGGGAAGCTGACTCTATGCTTTTTGGACGGCTAGATGCTGATTGGCTGGAAGCCAGTTTCCCAACCAATCAGCGTTGGGCCGGCCAAACAGAATGGACCCGACTCATTACCCACCGCCCGGCTTCCTGATTAACCGGGAAGCCAGCTCCATGCTGATTGGTTGGGAAGACTGCTTCCCGGCCAATCGGCATGGAGCAGGCGCCGTGTTCCCTCATGGCACTGCCGGTCAAAGGAAATCTCACTCTGACTCGAGTTATCGGGGGTAAGTATCGAAGCATTTGGACCACCCCCAATACTTGGTATCGGCACCAATACTAGTATTAGTGCATGTCCTACTTAAAAACACTCTGTGCATTCTGTAACCCCTAGCCCTGGTATTGTTCATTTAGAGATGCCAACTTGCTAGATTAAACACTGCATGACCGGGCTGATCTGCCACTCTTCTTAATAAAAACAGGGAAGGAAGGTGTTAACGGCACATTAGGCTTCATTTGATCAGGCGAGTCTTGCAAGTAACAGCAGCCGGCAGATGTTTCACTGCCAGCCATTCTTGGGGTGACATCTGCCTGTCTATTGCTAGCTAAAGTTGAAACAGTTAGGTGTATTCAAAATTCACCTTTGAAATAGCTTTAAAATGAGTAGTTCAGCTTTTAGACTGGAGAAGAGTTAAATCTTAAAATAAATTCAAGTACCATAATTATTAACAAAAATGTACCTAATATGTGTATCGCTCAGCTGTAGATCCTCAAATCATCTCTGAATTGGTGGTGACACTGTCCTGCCTTCTGGAGGGTGGCTACTTTTGTTCCCCATGGTCCCTATGTGTGTAGTAAAGTAGCCACCGCTCCAAGCTCTCTGCCGTGATGGACAATAACGTCAATAAAAATGAATAAACTAAATGTGAGATTGTAGTCCATCACAGGAGTGAGCTTGGAGCGGTGGCTATTTTACAACACACACAGGGACCATGGGGAACAAAAGTAGCCACCCTCCAGAAGGATAATCTACAGCTGAGTAATTCACAAACAAGATACATTTCTGTTAATAGTGGAGGTACAGGCGGTCCCCGGGTTACATACAAGTTAGGGACTTTAGGTTTGTACTTAAGTTGAATTTGTATGTAAGTCGGAACAGGTACATTTTTTAAGTGTAACTGCAGCCAAAAAAACATTATTTTGTTTTGGATAGCATAGGGAAGGGTCACGTTTGTTTTGCTGTCTGTTGCCCTTGTTCAGAAGATTATAATATAATAAAAAAAATGTTTTATTTAAAATGACAACAAAAAAAGTTTTTTTCTATTTTTAATTTGATTTTAGAAACTGTATTTTTTTATTTATTTGCATTTTTGGTTTTTATTTATTACATTTTTTTTACATTTCTTTTTTAATAAATTTTTTCATATTTTTAAACTTTTTTTTAATTATTTTAATGCTGGGTGCCATAGCCAGCCTGCTATTGGATAACCACCAACACAGGCGCGGAGAGCAGCGGGGACACAGGCCGCTGCAGGCACAGTTCTCCTAAATGTACCTGCGGCTGCCGGTACATTTAGGAGAACTGTGGACCCCGTTCGTAAGTACAGATTGTCTGCAAGTCGGACGTCCATAACCCGGGGACTGCCTGTACTTGAATGCATTTTTAAGATTTAACTCCTGAGTTTAGTGACACTTTAAAACCCTCATCAGATCTTTACAGCTCTCCCTCACTTCCTGTTCCAGGGACAACAGTGACCAAGACAGAAAATCTCCAGTTGGCACACATATAGGGTAGGTGAGGTTTTAGGTATTAATAGTTATTTCCATTCCCACCAATACCCAGACAGTAAGTAAAATCTAAAAGGTTCTGACTTTCCCTACTCGTTCCAAAACAAAAGTTACGTGAAAATGTTACACAAAACAGAAAGTAAAACCTCTCACAGAAAGATAAAAAGGATGAATTAGTTATTCAAAAGAGAAAGTTCTTGAGAAAAAAAAAGAGAATATCTGTTTTGTTTACAGTTTCTTCCAGTTTTACAGAAAAAAAAAAGCTAGGTGAAAGTTACTTGCATCTTCCATTACTGTGGGCAGCAGTCATAAGTGTTTAAATTATGATGCCCAATTGACACGTTTTCCTAGGCTTTTCCCCTCTAGCCACCATTTATCAGGCGCAGCTGTGGTCAGGTTAACATCACTTAGTAGTAGGATGTTAACCCCTAGCTGACAGCTGCCTTATTTACAACACATAGAGATCAGCTCTGCTTTAAAAAGGAAAAAAAATAAAATAAAAGTGAATGTCTAACTGTTAACATAAACTGCGTCATACTGAACCCTGATGACTGTAGACACTCTAGACAACTGCGTGTCTAATGTTTGTGTATGACTGGGGCACTTCATGACCATGCACACATGGACACTACAAAGTCAAGGAGGTTCCCCCTCTGAAGCAACCAAAAGATGGCAATTTTCGCAGCATGGCTCAAACAAATTACATTTTATTTTTTTCCACCCATGTAGTAAAGAGATCTTAAACAATTAAGGTATTAAAATGCTCATATGTAGCTTAGCTATTATTTGCAAAACAGTTTATTCACGTACAACCCAATAGAATAAGTAAAAAACATGAAAGCCATATGATACCATAATATATATCGTATATATATCTCTCTATCCTAAAGGGGCTGAAGATAGAAGGTAGAATGTGGAAGAAAGAACCTTTGTAAAGTTTTTACTCCTGTATGTGTCCTTCTTTATGGAGATTTTCTTGCTTTATTTCTTTGCATAAAAAGACAGGAACTTAGTTACTGAAACCCAATACTGCAATGCGAGTACAAAATAAAATTAGGATCATTGTAGTTCAGTATTTTCCATTTTAGTAGGTTTCCATAAGGTTTCAGTATGCTAAGTAGAGTTTTCCATCGTTTCTTTCCTTAAAACTCCATCACTCTGTCCATGCTTCCTTTAGGAGCTCCCAGGTCCAGTAAATTAATGAAGTGGTATAGCACAATCTCTAGGTTATTTTTGGTCTCTACTTTACAAGCAGTAACTGCCCACGGGTAAGCACCACATGCATGCTGCCAGCTGTCAGGCATCTTGCTTCTAAATGTTCATAGAATACAGAAGGAAGTTGGCTTTGCAGCATATAGAACTAAATATGCCTGAGCCATGCTCAGGTGCTCGCTCTCTCTCTCTCTATATATATATATACATACATATACATTTCAGCTCTGCAGTTGTTGCCTGTTACCCCCCTATAATGGTTGATATTAACTAGCTGTAAGACAATTCAGGATTATGTAATCAGGCAGAATAAAATAAATTTTAATATTTACAGAATGATTCTAGCTGACAAAATTAAAAGACATTTATCCAAGAGAATAATTATAATTATCGTACCGCAGGACTTCCACCAATGCCACCTCCAAGATCGCTCCCCAACTGGAAGAGAAAGCATATGTAAAATTTAAAAAAAAAACAAATGCAAAACAGGTAGAGTAGGGATTGGCTAGATTTAAATAGGTAAGTAAACATTGTCCTGAATATTTCTGACAATAGCTTTATAAAGTAAACAAATCCATATCTAAATGATACATCAAAATGTTTAGAGAAAGGTTCTTTAACATGCTGTATGTTTTTTTTCTCTAAACACTAAGTATGGATCTGTGAAAATAAAAAAAACCAAAAAATATATATATATAAGACCCCTGATATTTCCCTTTTAAAATAGATTGAGAACACAAAGTCCTCTATCTCTTTTTCTGTGTCCCTTGTTATCAATGAACAGTAATCCTCTATGAGTGTTCCTGTTCATTGATAACATGAGAACATTGTTTGTTTACTATAACTACAACTATGAATGAATGGGGGTGACTCAGCGAGATGAACTCGCTGAGTGTGTGTACCTTGCTCTTCTCTCTGACACTCTGTCACAGGAGGCTGATTGAGCGGTGTAGAGAGGAAAGCCGAGCCTCTACGTCCCCATAGAGAAAATTTCTCTGTTCTTCCTGTTCCATCTGACACCCATCACCTAGACAGAGAGTGAAGGGAATTTTCCCTCACCGAGACACTAACAATAAAATCCTGTCAGAGGTTCTAAACCTTCCTTGCTTTACAAGAAACTGTTTTTATTGTCTGGAATTGGGCTTAAATAATGAATTAAAGAAAGGAAAAAGGTGCACAAAAAGTGACTGAAATGTAATATAATGACATATATTTACTATTTGGTGAAAATGCTCATGTATACATTTTCTAAAGCACATAATGCACATATCACTTTCTGGCGGGGATTCTTAAGTGGACTTGAACTTTGGATTATATCGTGTAAAATATGGCAAAGTATAATAGGAAGGATACAAGAATGTGTTCTATGTTTAGCCACTTTAGCTAAATATAATGTAAAGTAAGTAACCTCATGTATGTAATAGTCCCAATTCCAAATTCAATCTTATATTGAAGAAAACAAAAAATATATACATTTTGTATGGGGCCCTGTGACTTCCAGTTACGTCCATGAATCAGGCTGCAACATAACAAAATTGAAAAAAGTGAAGGGAGTATGAATGCTTTCTGAATGCAATGTGCGTGTATATATACCGTATATACTCGAGTATAAGCCGACGGGATGTGAGGATATGGCATAAGGCCAAAACATTTTTTGCATTCATTGGTTTTCTCTAGGCACTTGGCACATTAAATCCCTATATAATCCCTATAAGTGCACACTGTTATTGTGAAGAGTTGCTTTGCATTGCTGAAGAATTACAGCACTTTAAATTAAGTGTTTTCATTTAGAGTAGCTGCAGAATGAATGGTACATCTTGTGGTGAATATACAAGAATAGGCTGGTTTAATTGTGATAAGGAAACCTGACATTGTAGAAATAGTGCCATATTCTTATTGAGGTTTTCATATGACACAGAAGAAAATAAACATACTGTATTTGATGGTAAGGATAAAGACTGTTAATGAAGACCAAGGAAATACAACAAATCTTGTTGTGACCCTTAGAATGCCAATGTAAGTGATCCAGCCAGTGATACTGTACTATTTTGATGATTGGATAAGAGAAACCAGGGAACATAAAATAACCTCATGCATGCCGAGTGTGTAATCTATTCATCGTCGATAAGATTGGGTCCCGAGAACAAATAACACTTTAATTATTTAATTATGCAGGCCAAGAATTCCCAGTCCTGACCACCAGAATCGCACTGTGGCGTTATCATGCACACTCCTAATGCAGTCTAATTATGCACACTCCTGATCATTCTGAAAAAAATTACCATCCACACTACTCTCAATAAGCAGAGGATGCACGGCACAGAATGAGTGGGATTACAAGAAATTGCTAAAAACTCAACTTGCAGAATATCTTGGACAAAATTATTATTCCCTCTCCCCCCTCCACCAATCCTCGCTCCTGATCTGCTGCAGCATTCCGCCCTTAGTAGGCTCCGGTGTCTGAGTCTTGTCTTAGTGGGATGGATGATGTCACTGCCCCCCTTTCTGCTCCCCATCCCATGTGAGCATGTTTGGGTCTAACCACTGGCCCTTCAAGCCAGAGCACTGTCACGTGGGCAGGGTTAGATGATCCCCCATACCTGAAAACCCCACTTTATTAGAAAAATGGATTGAGGGTCCAAGATGGTGTGAGGAGGCAGGGAGGGTGTGTGGATGGGCAAGTATATCTTGCTGGGCTATCAGGAAGTTGGATATTGTGTGCAATATTAAAACCACTGTCATTTATTTTACTGCCTGTATCTCCATTAGGGAGATTTGCCGTCACTTTCTATCTGGCAGGCATTACAGGAAGTGAGAGAAAATATCTCCAAAACGAGTGACACTTCCCTATTAGACACTTCCTAAATCTCATCAAATAGGACATAGAAGACAATCTAAAACCTGACATGGGTTCTAGTCCTTCCCCCTTTATACAAAACAAAATAAAAAGTTCTGGCTTTAGACAAACCTTAAAGATATTAAATTCCTTCACATCTCACAGAAAATGTAAAAACTGAAACTTCACAAATAATCACACTTCCTGCTGATCCTTTGCCACAGATCATTCACATTTCAAACTTTTCCTTTAAACAATGTCTGGATATGCGTTATAGCTTGTGATTTTAGTGCCTCTTTAAGCACCAGCTGTACTCCTATTTGTTCTCTCTGGACTGGAGCCTAGAAGCTGTGTCAGCATTCTAAATTCTAGGACGAATCAGATTTTCTTTAATGTGACAATTTCAAATACAAGGGCTTAACACATTCTCATCTGGCTTCAAGTCATTCTCTGATGCTGGAGATGGAGAACTCAGAATGTATTGGAAAGAGAATTTGAATACAATGTTTGAATCCTCTAAATGTGCTGGTAAATTGTTGCAAAGTATTAAAAATATATCAAATTAAAGCACGATGGATTATCTGCAAATGAGATTATGAAAACTGAAATAAAGATTAACTGTACTTTAATAATAAAACACTTCAGCAACAGACAGACAATATGGGGCCACTGTATAATTGTATCTGTTTTATAAGCAGTAAGTGCTCTTTTAGCTGCCCAGCTGTCACAGACTTAACATTCTCCAGCACTATTATGCTTAATAAGGGTCAGGGCACATTCTATGGGGGAAGAGCAGGGGTCTGCGTCATGCTGGTCAATTTTTGTTTACTACAAGCCAGCTTGACACAGACCCCCTGCCCCTCCATCTACTTTTTAAGTACTGTATGTATCCACCCACCAATGCAGCATACAGGAGATCTATTGCAAGAGAACATTTGGTTACTACAGTTATCCTTAGTAGCTATCTCAATGAGCTTTGAAGGACACCTGTCAGGGCAGAAATACATAGGCTACAGGCCTTAATTCAACTCAAGCAATAATTTATATCTTTCGGCTGGACATACATATGTGTACTATCATACAGTAAACCGCATTTTATCATGCAGTATTGCAATTTATGGTAACACACAAAACTGATTGTGTACCATTCATTTTCAATGGCATGCTACTGCACCTTGCCAGCGCACAACAATGCACATGTATTTCTAAAGAAAAACAAAAGGCACCAATGTTCACCATCTGCGCATTGTAGTGCACTGCTTTGATAAAGAAAAAGATACAGGGGTGCTAAAATGTCTGGTTTGTTGACAGCTTATTCACAAACAGTAGGCTGCCTTACCCCAGCACATTGGCCCTCCACAGTTTTAAACCATCATAAGGCTTAATGACTGTGACAGTTGGATAGTATTGGAAAACTGGCAGAGAAAATCTGGTCACTGTAGTCCTCAAATATATAAGGAGTCAGCATGTGATTTAACACATCAGCAACCATGTTAATCTACAATCATTTTGGTTGAAGCTAGAACGTACTAGAACTAGACAAATGTTATTATTCTAGGTGTCTGCATGTCCATCAGATTTCACATAAATCACCTTAAGTCCCTCAGTTCCTCTGGTTCTCTGTTATCCATTTTCAATCAGGTTTCACCTTGAAGTGTCTACGTCTGGTCCCACCTCCCTGATCTTCCTCATTGGTCAGTAAGTTTTTCTATCACAGTAATGGACCAAATCAGATTTCTCTGATTTTCCAGGTGCTATGTGATTCAATGTCCTGCCCCCTCTCACACTTTGCTATTGCCCAATAACTGTGATAGGAGGCCTCACAAGGCAACTGCAAAGTGCAGGAGGTAGGACTAGATGGAAACCAAATGATAAAAATTGAATACCCAAGCACCCTGGGTTTTAGGTTAATAGTGTAATCTAAGTGAATTCTGATGTCTGCTACAACAATCAAGCTGAGGATCAACAGTCTACAGTCTTACTACAGTGCAAGTATACCATCTATAAATAAAAGGGGATCATTGCTTATTCAACATATTAGAAATCTGCTGGCCAATGCCTATTTTAACTTGGGTGTTAACTCCTACACTCGATATCTTGAGAAAAATGATATGTGAGGGTTTTTAAATTACAGTTAACATTTTTGGTGCTTAACTTCAATAAGTCATAGCAGTGTTTTCCAGACACATCTACTAGAAAGCTGCTCAAAACAATGCTTTAACATGACACACATACATATCAAATAAAGGAACTATAATGTCCATCTCTTTGTCCACAGGAATGCCATATTATACATACACCGATCTGTGTTGTGGCAGCCAAATTTTGACACTGTATGTTCTGGGCTTGGATAGACATTTAAGGTGGCCTCTTCATTTTGCAACAAAAAAGGTAATTCCAGCAGGGTGCCATTTTTTATTTATAATGGAAAGTCCTTTTAAGAGAACTAGATACAGATGGATATCTGTAATAACCTGAATCTCCATCCTTGAACTGTTATAGTGCACCCTTAGCTCTTAGGCATTTATGATTTTTATCCTTTAGTTGCAGACTTTCCTGTCAGAGCAAAAGTGTCAAGCTGAGAGTCAGGCTATAACTGCCATCGTCTCTCCTGCCTGAGTGAGTTGCCACACATTCTGAGATATATGTGCTGACAGAAAGAGCATACAAGAGAATAATAGCTCACACTACTATCCCTGAGAGATAAGACAGCACTTATAAAAACGGAGGAGAGGAAAGATTCAGATTATGACCATTGCCTGTTTCTTACTTGTTCTCTTTAAACAATGTGTTAGCTGTGTATTGAAATAATAATGATCAAAAAGACTTGACTGATGAGTCACAATTTACAAGAAACTGAAGCAGACAACATGGAGAAAAATTGCATTTTTATACAGTGCTTTAAAAGGTTAGAGGTTGTGTATGGTGCTATACTGAAAGTGCAAGGGAGGGGAAAGCTCGTGCTTAATCAGGCTCATAAACTGGATGCTTTAGAACATAATTGTTCAAAGCTAAATGCTAATGGTCATGCATATGAGCAGCCTGATGTGATAGGAAGAAAGAATCCATAATAGACACCAATGAAAGGAGGAGAGAAGGATAATGCCAGTTTATCAGAAACTACTGAGTGAGAAGCAGTTACCCATTGCGTATCCTCTCCCATCTGCAAGGGTAGGCAGGACACAGGAGGAAAGAAGCAGAAAGGTTACTGTCAGCAAAGAGACAGCTGAACTACAGAAACAACTATCAGTGCCTGTGACATAAAATCTAACATCCCTGACAAATTCCAAGCCTGAGCAGCCACTGTCCTTCTGGCATCAGCATTAATGCTGTTTCTAGTGTTTGGGTGAGGACAGGATGTTTCTGACACAAGCAGAAACAAAATGAAGTAGACTGCCAAAGTCTCACTAACCCTTTCTGAGTCAGATTCCTTACAATTCTGCTAACTAAATGTATTTAGATTAAAATCACACCAATATGAGCAATCATCGAACAAATGACAGTGCAATGCAACAGCCTATTCAGATGCATATTATATACAATTACATTTTAATATTGCTAAGAAAACATATATAGTCAATAAGCTGCAGGCACTTTTTTTTTGTACAGCATTAGCTGATTTTTGTCTTGTTTTGACAGACTGACAGATGTGTGCAGTTTCATACTTGAGTGCACCAGTCTGCATATCAGTACTGATACCCAGTGATAATCTCTGAAGAACAGCATCTATGGTTGGGGAGAGAGAGTGGGGATAAATGCAAGCTAACCTATAATATAATGGACTGGGGATCTCCTTTGAGCTTAGAAGGTGAACAGTGTTCACCATGTAGCCTGGGCAAGATCCTCTAAATGTGACCATCTAGGCGTGGATGCCTCTGATTAAGAATGCAGCCCTTGTCAAAACTTCCAATACTTTCACCACATGTATGTCCTATCTCAGGATGAAACATGCATATGATGAAACATTGTTGTCTTTTCTAATGCATGCAGGGGAACAATGGCAAAGGATTTGCAACTTGCATCATCACTTAAAGGCAAGCAATATGTGAGATTCATCGGACCTCAGGCTGAACTACAGGCAGATATGAAAACAATAATGAATGCAGTTATGTATTTATTGTTAAAAAAGCAACATATGTATTAGTATGTAGGAGCAACCAAACCGGTTTGCAGCATGCACAAGTGCTGACAGAAGGACAGTGAAAAAAAGATGACCTCTACAGTCTCCTGTTGTTCCTTTATTGTCCTTTCAAGGGCTGGGAACAGAGAGGTGACAAGCTGTATTACCTTACTGTAATAAGAGAGAAGTCAGGTCGCCAACCTGGATACTGTCTCTAGCAGGGCTGTGTAAATCTCAGGACTGAATGGACAAAAACCCTTTAGCAGGTAAAACTCCTTATATGTATATCAACAGTGAAATGTTTGCATCCACTTCAGCTTACAGTTTAAAGCTGAACGCTGGGATAAGTAAATATTGTCTGTATACAAAATGTGTATTCTTACGTGAATCGTTGTGTGCCTTGCTTATTTCTTCCAGATCTGTGAGATGATTCAGTGTGAAACTTTACCTCTGTGCAGGAGATTGATGTCATAAAGACCAGTCACTGCAGATGCCTCTTCTGCAGGGTGACTGGTCTTGTATCTGCCCCTTCCTATACGTTTCTGCAGACATTTTGGGCCTGCTGGGTTCCTCCCGCAGCTCTGCTATCTGACAGGCTATGTGCAGCACAGTGACAATGTCACTACTCACTAACTACTGCATTTTGAAAGGCATTTGGTAGATGCAAAGTGGATTTATATTTTGTGGCTATTGGAGCACAGCTTTAAACTTTATTTTCATGTCTTAGAATATGGAACGGTTAAAACCACTATTAGGTTTTTTACTTTTGTCTGTATTCCTAATTGAAGATTTTCACTCACTTCCTTTCATACAGACCCACGGTACAAGAAAAGGGAGGTCACACACAAAAATAAAAAAAGCTGACAGATGTCCTGTGACAACCGCTTTTTATTTAATTTGGATTGGGTACACTTCTTACAAACATTGCCTAACAACGTTCATCCACAACAAGAAACTTCTGCAGTAGTTATTTTCTTTAATTGATGTAATTCTCTTCATAGCAGGTCAAAAGTTAAAGGTGTCAATTCCAATAATCATTTTTGCCTGCTATGGGGTGAAATGCATCAATAAAGGCAAAAGGCTAATTAAGCTAAGGTTAATGTGGAGTTTTCTTTTTCGAGGATTGACTAGACTGATTACAGATCGAAACACAATACTACCAGAAAGTGTTAGATGCTATCCTGCTCTGGCTGTACTGCAGCCTTTTTATTCGTTAGACTGTTCCTTCCCCTCTGCTCAAGCGGTCTAAGGCCCCAGGAGTTATCACATCCAATACACTGTGTGCTGGATGTGAGGATGCCGAGGGACATACCATTGTGGAGGAGGAAACAGGTGGGAGGGAGCGCTCTAACAGCCAGCTGACCACAAGGTTCGGGTGAGTATAACTTTGTTACAAGAGCTAGTTAAGGCAATGCATTATTATGGGATGCAGAAGGGGGCAGCTGCCTCTTCTATAATTTTGAAGAGCTCCAGGCACCCTTGGAGTGCTCCATCTTGGAAACAAATGTGTATCTGCATGTAGCTATGTGCTAGAGGTTAAGACCAGATGACTGCTATCGTGATACTAAAATATATAATAAAATTAAATAAAGATACAAGGAGCAATATACAGGTAAATAATGACTGCTAAAATTAGAAGCTGAAAGGCAACCTGCATCATTTCTTACCAGACTATCTAGGCCTCCACCAAGCAGATCCACTGCTCCCATCTGCATTGTAGACACCTGTGGCACATTTCCTGGGGGCCCAAGGTCTAGATTAAGAAGATCACCTAGGAGGTCTCCTTGAGAGGGAATAACCTGTTGCTGTTCAAGGGCAGAGGTAGGAGCAGGTCCAACTGGGCTGTCTCCAATATCAATGCTAGAATGTAATAAATAATACTGTTAGATAACAGAAACAAAATCATGTGTACATTATTACATCCTGGGGAGGACACTATACCTCTCGCTTTGTGGTCCATGGTAAAAGTCTAAACACCTAAAATGTATCAGGGGCATGCAATAGTATAGGTGACACTTTGCAAGCCAGTCACAGTTTCAGCAGTTTTAGTATTACCACCTGTAACTTGTGCCAAGATCCCAGTGGTGAAAACTACAGTATCAAACTCCTAATGCAGAAAACCATGTTAACGTGTTCAGTAAAAGAGCTGCAAGTGGCTGAAGATGTTGAAATCTCAGGTTTTCCTGTGAAGCTTACATTTATTTCATGCTCTTTCTTACCTTCAAAGTTTCCTGGCTACAGTGGCCAGATAGCAACTGTCCAATTTTCCCAAATATGATCATAAGATTAAATACTTATACACAGTAAAGCATTCTCCGATTAAATAATATTTGCCATTAAATAGAGGGCCACAACACTCACCTTCCATGCTGGATTGGTAGGTGTTTACGATGGACTCCATGGCTGCCTTCAACAAAAGCGGTGGGTGGCTTATGGTACACTGAAGCCAGAGAGCCAATGTGGCAAATCAGCTCATCCAGCAAAGTGGGCTCTATAAGGTCAGTCTCCTCAGAGATAAGTGGCTTCTCGGAAAGTACCACCTCTTTAGCAGTGACAGGGTCAGTGGAAAGCAAACGCCAGTAAATATATCCTCGGTCACGAAGATCAGGGTTATCGGAATCCTGTGACAAGGAGAAGGTGACACTCAGCGCACCCTTAAAATGACAGCAATCCATCATTAGCAATAGTGGTAACATTCTAATCAAACTTTATTGCTTTAAACCTAGACCAAATGCCGTGAGCTGTCAATAACAAAGAGTAGAACTATGACAGCTCTATAATTAAATTACATTTGGCATTATTGCTGAGATAATTTGAAAGCAATATTCAAAATTAGATATCAAGAAAAGGCCTAAAACTATGTACCAGTTTTAAAATACTATTTCTTTATAAACGTAGATATTATGCTAGCCATACACATGACAATGTTTTGGCAAGGTCAAATACTTTCCATCATCTTCAACTAGCTTTCCATAACAAAATCAATCAATTGGATCAAGGTAAGCAACCAACAGTTTTTATAAAAACTGCAAAACAATTGTAAAAATTGGTGATAGGTTGCTTTGCTCAATTTGTCAATTTTTGCTATCAAAAGCTGGTTTCTATGGCTAGCAAAAGGTTATGCAGCTGATAGTTACAAACTCCCAATGAAATGAAAGCAGGGGGAAATCAAGCAACAAATTACTCAGAGGGTCTGCTCTGTGGGAATCACTTATTTGCAATGCAGGCAAAGCAAAAGGCTTAATCCCAGCAGCACAAACTCATCTTTCATTCGGTCCCTCTCTACTTTGTTCAGCCACCAGAATCGAGGAAAGGAATAACTCAGTTACACTACCTGCTCATATGTTGGGCAAATCACCAAACGCCAGTGCGGTCAAATGAGAGGAAGGGGAGCAAGTCACTTTCTCCTCTATAACTAAAAGTAGTTTTTTGTTGTTGCTTGCAGTGGCTGAGCAAAGTAGCGGACCCGGGGGGCAGATTGGGGGTCATCTTCTGTCCTCATAGTCACCAATAAATGACACGTAGTTTGTTGTGTCCAGAATTTCCAATCAAGAATGCCGGAAGCACATTCCAATTTGGTAATATAACCTTTCACAATACGACTTGTTACAGCTGTCAGCGATATAGTGATTTTGTACCACCAAATTATTTATTAGTGGGAGTTGTACCTCGTTTCTGTTTTGTTCATCATAAGGGTTACTGTAAGGGAAGCATTTTCATAAAAAAATGCCATACATTACAGTTCACACCAAACACCACCTGATATTAAAAGATAAAGAGAACTGTTTTGAGGCAAGAAAGCTTGATCAGTATAGAGGCATTACAAATTGTGGGTAAATTTGGTTAACAATATGTAAAGTAGACATTTGTGTTGTAGTAAAATACCCCATGCTCAGCGTGGATTATCTCTCTATAGCCCTTTCCTAAAACCCTTTTCTCAAGGCCTTCCTACATTTTTCTTCCCAAAGAACAGGGTACTCTAATAAATGGCACACCAGAGATGAAGCAGAATAAAACGAATCCCACTGGATATGGAAGGATTTCAGGGATTCAGAGGTTTAGCAGTAAAAACATCTACAGAAATGCCCTCAGCTGTATTTCTGATCTAGGTACAGTGTAGACATGAATGTCAAAGACAAGTGTTAAAGTCATAGCTTTGTGATTACCGGTTTATAAAGAAAACACAGCACACATCTCAAAAGCCAGATTGTATCTTCTATTTCTGAATATACAGGTAGCTAATCTACATAGAAATACTAATCATACTTAAAATAAATACTGCATATTCTTAAGTGCCAAAAAAGATAGTACTGAAGCATACCTGTCACCTAAGCAGATATCACTGTCATGACCATCACTTTAACATTCAAAAGAAAAAAAAACAACCTGCAGACAGGTACGAAGAGCAGACATCTAAAATGGCTTGCATGTACATGTAGCAGTTTTCAGCACCCTCTGCTCTGCCCAAATACTAGATCAAATAGGTAACTACCAGGAAGTGTCAAAGCTTCATACATTCCTAATGGTCCATTAATATGGTGGGCTGCCCACTGGGTACATCCCAATCAGAGTGCATGCCATCTCCCTACACGCTTGGGCGCTACCAGCACCTTTGGGAGTAGAGCCTTGAGCTCCATTTATCGAGCGCACGTCATAGCGCATAATGGTGGAGCCTTCTCCACACTCACCATAGTAGATGTATGCTGTACGCCAAAGCCCCGCTGTTGGAATGTATACCTGCAATGTAAACACTATTCTACCCGTCAATAACATACATGTATCACCTGAAGTTGTCAACCTATTGTACTAATATGTTATCTATAGCTGAGCGGCATTTCCGCTTTTCCTTATGTCTCTGTAACGAGTGCCCAACAGTTTTGTACCTTCAGAAATGATGCCGAATGTATAAATATATGTGAAGATGTCTTCTATATTTGTAAACCAATATGGTGGGCTGCCTCCCTGGCCTATAGAAAGGTGAAGGAGCGCATGCTTCGTACTACAAGAAAAATGCCAAAGATGTGCCCAATCAGAGTAGCCTTGCAATAGGGCAAAGTGAGGGCGCTTTGGCAGGGGCGTCCTGAGGCTGGGTGACACCCGGAGCGGTAACCGAGTGTCACCCCGCCGAGACGTCACTGCGCATGACGTCACCACGCGCGTGCGCGATGAGGTCATCGTGCACGCGCGGCAGTATTCTGATACCTGCCGGCAGCCATCTTGGTGATGGACGCCGGCAGAGAGAGGATGGGACAGTCACCCGGACAGTCACAGTCTCCTCCTCTCTCCTGATACTGTCGGGCGTTTGGTCCATGACCGAGCGCCCGACTTTTCAGAGGGGGGTGACACCAAAATGACTGTGAGTCATTTTGGTGTCACCCCTCCAATGGCGTCACCCGGGTGCAGGCCACACCCCCCTTGTGACGCCACTGCGCTTAGGTTGCTTCAGGTATACGCAGGAACCTCTAGGCAAATTAATCCTGTCAGCATTTTGTTGTTAAAATGACAAAGTAACATTAAGGATGTGGGCATGCTTTTCACAAGTTCCCTTTGCAGTGTCCCTAAAATGCACAAACCTGACTCATAAAGGGTCGTTTCGACAGAACATTTTGACAATGGTACATTTCATTGGTGCCAAAACAGGAGAGCCCATTTTATTCCCAAAAACGTGAATTAGGTACTCATATTTTAACTTATTAGTTGCAGAAGTGAGCTACAAGAGAGCAGGCCACAAGCAGAGCTAAAAACAGCCATGCCTCTCAGTCCACAACAGTTACTGTAATAAATATAAGGTCTGACGGATAAGTCAAATTCTACCTTGCATATAGGGGTTTGCTAGCCAGGTCATCTGCAATGCCTTCACAATTTCAGAAAAGCTCATAGCAAAATTACTGAAAAAATACATCCATACCAGATTACTTATTATGGATTTGGAGGATGATAATTGTACAAGCGGTGTATAAAATTTTCCCACATCTTTGACTGTCCAATGTGAAGACACATCATCATGAAGTTCTGCAAGCAAACACCCTCACAAGCTGCTTTCATTTCAAAGCAATATTAAATACTTTAAGGAGAGAGGCAGCAACATTAACCAGTTGACATCCGCGGTGTTAAACCCCCTTCCCATCCAGGCCATTTTTCAGTATTCAGCGCTGCGGTACTTTGACTGACATTTATTCCGTCATATTAGAATCACATACTACTGTAAGTAACTAATACACTTTTTAGTAATACATTTTTAAAATGTTTTTATTTTTCTATGCAATTTTGTTACTATAGTGTTTTGGCATAAAAAAATAAATGGCCTTTCAGTTCTACTTTAAGCAGACATTTAAACAAAATACAACCCATGCCTTTACTTTGCTGGAATATATTTTATTTTTACTGCTCAAGGCCATTTTACACAGCTTGAAATCATCACTTCTGGGAGTGCAGGATAAAGCTGGCTATACACACTATGGATGCACCGATACCAGTTTTTAGGTATAGGGTACGAGTACCAATTATTTTTTTTCTGTACTCGACGATACCGAATACCAATACCGGAAGTCCCCTTAAGGAGCTGGGTGGCATGCAATGACTGCCGCTTGACCTTCTGATTAGCCGGCTTCATGCTCCCTCATTACCAGGTGACAAGGAAGCATGGAACCGGCTTTCTGGCCAATCAGGAAGCTGGGGCCGTGTAATGAATTGCCCCCCGGCTTCCTGATTGGCCAGCTTCCCGACCAATCAGAATCGGGCTTCCTGGTGGTAAGGGAACATGGAGCCTGATTCCTGACCAATCATGAAGCCGGGGCGGCGTGTAATTACACGCCGCCCAGCTTCCTGATAACGGAAGTACTGGTATCTGGAGCATTTGGGCGAGTACGAGTACTCGCCCAAATGCTCGGTATCGGCGCCGATACCGTTACTATTATCGGTGCATCCCTAATACACACTGAGTGAATTTCAGCTGGTTCTTTATGAACAGTGGGTGGCCCTGTCTGACATCCGGGTAGAACATTGTCACTTGAACAGCGCCTACATCTCAGCAGATAAATGCGCTGTTTAGGTATTTTGACAGCAGGTGGGGATTCTTTTAGATTTTTTTCCATCCAGCCCGAAAGCTGATTGAAAAATGTAGTGAATACCTAGTTTAACTCTAGTTTCCATATCATAGTTCTGTCTCTCAGCTACCAGAACATCCAGGCGCTAACTGTGACAGAGCAGAAGCGTGTGGGAGATCAGTTCTCCCTCTCAGTGGCAAGGAAACTCCCCCTCCTTCTTTTGGATCTAATGTTTGCATCCATTCACTATATTTTCTTGTCTTTCCACTCCACATGGACTTCTTTTAAAATACGTTTCACTTTTTCACATTTGTGTTGGTACCGTAAAACACTACTGGGTGCAGGGATGCTATTTACCCACATTTGGCAATACACCCTACTTTGCATGCGCAAGATCACAGCACTATATCAATTGACAGACTGATTCATGTCTGCTGACGTCAGAGATAAGATGGTGGAACCCAGAAACTAATGGAATTAAATTTATCACTGAGGCTATTTACTCTGGAAGCTGATTAGTAACAATATAGCTGACATAGCTGACATTTTCATATACCTGTCCGTATGCAGTGGTGTGAATGAGAAAACTAGAGGAACTTCATGATGTTAGATATTTTCATCAAACCTGCAAAAGCCTATAGTTTTCTCCTGGCCTCTCTTTTTCACTCTCCTATTTCTTAATCTGTACCTAGAATACAGCTCCCATGATGTGCCATCACCTCTAACCATATTTTGCATAAAAACTCAACACTAAACCAATGCAATCTTACATAGTTAAAAATAAATAATAAAGGTGATCAGCGCCAGTAAGTGTAATGTGGAAATAAGAGCTACCAAGCACTAAGGATATAACTAAATATCTAAGAAATGTGAAAAACAATATTGTGCCGAGCTAATAATCATACATATCTAATAAAGTGAAACATATATAAGTGAGTCACATATATGAGCCTTCAAACAAATGAGGCATAGAAAATATCTACACAAAGACAAAAAAGCAACATGGATACGGGTGATTCGCATCATCTGAAGGATTTTTTTTGCACAATCACCATTGTTTGCTTTTGTTTTTTCCTTGAGACTTTTTATTGTCTATATTGCTTTTTTGTCTTTGTGTAGATATTTTATATGCCTCATTTGTTTGAAGGCTCATATATGTAAATCTTACATAGTTACATAGTATTTGAGGTTGAATAAAGACATAAGTCCAACCTATTGTGTGTGTGTATGTATGTATAGGTCCCTGTGTCATCTCATTCTTAAGAGTACCTGTACCCCTGTACATTACGGTCTCTCAGGAAATTGTCCAAAAGCTTCTTGAATGATTCCACACTATTTGCTGAAATCACAGCCTGTGGCAGAGAGTTCCAGACCCTAACCGCTCTAACTGAGAACCCCCTTCGCCGCTTGTGTTGGAATTTTTTTTACCAACCAATTTTAGGTGGTGGCCTCTAGTCTTTGTTATGGAGTTAATCGTAAAGAGTTTGTTGCTAATGTTGCTATGGCCATTGAACATCTTGTACATCATATCCCCTCTTAATCTCCTTACTTCCAGCGTGAACATATTTAAATTTAGTAGCCTTGTCTCATAGTTCTGGTCCTCCATTCCTTTAATGAGTTTGGCTGCCCTCCGCTGGATGCTTTCCAGTTCAAGGACATCGTTTCTGTGCAATGGTGCCCAAAAGTGGACCGCATACTCCAGGTGAGGCCGAACCAGTGATGTGTAAAGTGGCAAAATTATAGACTTGTCCCTGCAAAACATTCCCTTCTTGATACAGGACAGGACTCTACTCGCTTTGCTTACAGCAACCTGGCACTGCAAGCTATTATTCAGTCTGTGGTCTACAATGACCCCCAAAATCTTTCTCCATTTCTGACTTCCCTAGCAGCATACCCATAATTGTATAACCTATTTGCTTATTTTTAATCCCAAAGTACATTACTTTGCATTTATCGACATTAAACCTCATCTGCCATATAGTTGCCCACTCCCCTATTTTATACAGGTCCTCCTGCAATGTTATACTATCTAGGTCCGTTTCTATTACCCTCCCGATTTTGGTATCATCAGCAAACACTGAAACATTGCTGTTTACACCCTCCCCAATGTCGTTAATAAACAGGTTGAATAGCATGGGTCACAGCACAGAACCCTGAGGCACACCGCTCATGACACTAGCCCAAGTCTGAAAGGGCGCCATTTATTGATACTCTCTGTACCCGTTCCTTTAGCCAGTTCTCTATCCATGTACACACCATTACATCTATTCCCATGAATCTCAGTTTGTATAGTAAGCATTTATGTGGTACCGTATCAAAATCTTGTTATAAAGAAAACCGTTAAGGCCATACACATTTAGGAATCAATAAGCGAAAGATGTCATTTGTTTATAACCATACCTGTGTAGCTAGGCTAAGAACTTGCTGAACCAACTCCTGTGTTTCTGATGGCTTCTTCAGGAACAATTTAACAATAGCAGTCAAAAGTGTGAGCTGCACCTACAGAAACAACCAAAGAATAGTAACTATTTCTATAAAGGTTATCAGTCACAGAATATCTAGTGATCAAACCGAACTGGAGGTCTTCTAGACACCAACTAGTGTAAAGAAGGAGTGAATTAAGCCAACAGCATCATATGAGTTGAAACCAATTAAAAAGTTTACTTGGCAACCAAGGATGAAAATTGAAAGAAAATAGGGCCTCCTAGATTAAGACATACTCCACTTATTTTTGTTACAACATAAAGGAGTTGTTTTCACTAATTTAATAACCATAAACCCTTTGTCTCTAACTACTTAAACTTTGGTTGCTGCTAAACTTACTTGTGTGCTCTCATCATGGAATCCTTCCAGAAAGCTCTCCAGCAGTTCATCAGCATTATCAATACGCTCTGCATATTCTCCCACAATCCAGATCATAGCAGCTCGGGCATCAGGCTCATCCAGCGAGTCCAGATTTTCACATAATGTGGCAATTATGCTCTCATATCTGCAGAATACAATAGAAATTAACTACCAGTCATTTATTCAGTACAGGTCTTTATTTAATTGCACCAACAGGAAAAACTTACTTGTTGGGATACTTGCGGAAGATGTCCCTGATGACAACAATGGCTTCTTGAACCACATAATTTACTTTGGTCTGAATAAGGTCAAGAAGGGTGCTTACACACCTCTCAGCAGATTGCTAAGGGGAAAAAAGAAAATTTAAGGATACCATTTTCTAGTCTGGACATGCACACAAAATATACAGCAATTAAGCAGATACAGACGAGAGAGAGAGTGTGAGAGAGAGAGAGAGAGAGAGAGAGAGAGAGAGAGAGAGAGAGTGTAGATACAAATGTGTGTGTGCGCGTCATATTGTGTAAACTATTTTACTCGTTTTATAAGATTATTTTGATATATTTTTGTTACAGCTGGCCATGCATTCACCAACATGTCTTTCACAGACTCCCTTCTGCAATAACCACATCATATCTTAAATGCAGTGTTCAGTTACTTTCATGTACCACTGCTCTTAGTAAACAAAGCTGGCTACTGAATTAAAATTCAAAAGGTAAAATTTTAATTGAGCAGAGGTCTGAATTGCGGCCTGAACAGAACAGTCACTGAGTCCGTGTCCATACCATGGTCCACCATTTAGGCTGCATTCACACTAGCAGCTGTACTACAATTCACAGCTGCTAATGTGTATTCCACTGCTTTTACTCCACAAGTTATTGAAAAAACTGCCTGTGCTGAGTAAAAGTCACACTTTATTCTCTCATCAAAAGTGATCAAAGATCAGCCAGTAAATGTATATATAGGTGTATCACTGTCTTACCTCAACTTTGATGGCACATCTTCCGATGGCACGGACTGCCTTCCTGACAAAGTCCACGTCTACTTCAGTAGCATACTCCTTAAGCTCAGCGAGGACCTGCCAGACAAGAAAGACAGACCAGAAAGACAAAACCATGGTTTGACTCCGACGTTTATGAAAAAATCTAGCTACTAAATCATATTATACATATTATATTACTTGCTACAAACTGAAAGTGTTTGAATGAGCACAATAACTTTAGGTTAAAAAATGTCTCTCAATAAATAAACTTCAGAACCCTAATTTCTGACGAATCTATTTTGACACACTGGCTTGCATATGCTCACTGTTGCAAAACACTTCCTCTTTGCATAAAGCATATGTATTATGCATCCTGACTATGAGAAATGCCAGTATTAACAGTACCTATATCGTAAAGAGTAAAAGGCAGAAAAAACTCTGTTATATGTTTTATCCAGTTACATAATAGCTGCTACTGAATATCAGCACAATGCATGGATGAACTGAGGAACAGCGTTTGCGTCACAAACAAAATGCAACAATACATATAGAATAGTAAATCTATAAGGATTTAGGAGAAATGCTCTAGGCCAGCCCTTATGCACCTTTTTAAACACAGAGGAACCCTTGAAATAATTTTCTGGTATCCGGGAACCCCTGCTAAAATGTACATATAGCTCATATTAGTGTCAGAGGTTACCGTATTTTTCGCTCCATAAGACGCACTCCCCCCCAAAAGGCAGGCAAAAATGTCCGTGCATCTTATGGAGCGAATATTCCCCCCAGCTGTCACACACACATGCGTTCAGCGGCTCCCGCAGGGTGATGTGCGAGAGCTGAGGCGGGGGGGCTGACAGTGTGTGCCCGTCCCGTTCTCTCTGCTGCAGCCTCACAGACTGTCAGTGGTTTCTCCCTACAGGCTGTAATCGGCTGCAGTGATCTGTGTCAGCGGGGACAGGCAGCCGATTACTGACTGTAAGGAGAAACCTCCGACAGTCTGTGAGCTTCCTCCCCGTGTCGTCTACTCACCCCTCCGCGCGATCGTTCTCCATTCCAGCAGCTGACCGCAATAGCCAACCTGTTATTGGCTCTTTTAAATTGCAGTCGCCAACAACAGGCTGGCTATTGCATCCGCCCACTGCCTGCTCATAATCAATAGAGGTGGACCTGATGGAGAACTTCAGGTCCCTCCTCTGCTGATTGACAGCAGGCAGTGGGCGGGTGCAGTAGCCAGCCTGTTACTGGCTATTGCAATTTGAAATATCCAATAGCAGGCTGGCTATTGCTCCCAGCAATTAAGTATAAAAAAAAAAAAACAAGTTTGAAAAAAATAAATAAACTAAAATAATAAAAATAAAGTTAAAAAAGTAAAGTTAAATAAATAAAAAGTAAAAAAATAAAGTTAAATTAAATAATACAACAGAAATAGAAAAAAAAATGAAAAGTTAAATAAACTATAAATAACCCCCCACACACACACACAATTGAAGTCTTAAGCCCCTGCGAACACACGCATTTAAAAAAAATAAAAATCATGGCAGACGGTATGGATGATGTAACTGGTGGAGCCACGCACAGCCGCACAACTAAAAAAAAAAAAAGAAGCCTTTTTTTCTCTCTAAACCTAGGTGCGTCTTATGGAGCGAAAAATATGGTACTTATCTGTCAAAAATTGCAGATTGATGAAGGAACTCCTAGCAACCTCTGGAGGAAACATAGCGTTCCACATAATCCTGGCTGAGAAAGGTTGCCCTACAGAAACTCAGAATCCAAAGCAATTGCACTAATTCTATAGAAAAATATAACTTCCATACTTCAGTTTCCTTTTTCAGGATTTTGTACTGGCAATGTTATAATACTGGGTGAAGTGCGTTTATCACAGAGAGCATATGTTTTTTTTTTTCACTCCAGGTATCTAAATCAGATTTATCCCAGTTGATCTGAAGCCAGAGTAAACACAAAAAGTCTGAACTTTTGTCTGAATTTGATCTATCATGTTTTGCGAATCAGTTAAATATATTGGAATAGCATCTGCATTTAAAGAGACTTTTTATTCTAATGTGCCCACTTGTAATACCTGGATCAGCAAGAAGCTCTATTGCTAGTGCAAAAAGAAGTGGAGATGGGACAACCCTGGCCTGTTTCCCTTACATAGCATATATTTGTTTTTTTGCGTCTCTTAAACAAAGATGCTCGGCCGGAGAAAATGGCATATCCGCATGGTTCATACACAAGGTTTAATTTAATTGTCTATTCCAAATGATAACCTAATAATCTAAGTATGGAGTATTTGAAATCTACAAATTGGAAGCCTTTGTATGTATTATGTGCCATTTTATTTAACTTCCCTGCATGGTGTACTATATCATTGTAGTTTTCCCCACAGAGAAAAAGGAAGTTATTATAAATAAAAGGATGGAATGATGACCTGAAAGAATGAAGAACACTACATGATAACACGGTTACACTAACCTGAGCAATGTTGGCCTGTGATGCTAGCCGTATCATTATGTCCAATTTCTCCAATTTCACATAAATTGGATCATTGTACTTGACAAAAAACACTTTGATTTCTTGCTTTAGAATCTCTGGCCTGGATTACACAAGTAGGGAAAAAGAGGAAACATAAATAAAACAAAAAATTACATTTGCAAACCAATAAAACATTAAACCAGCTCTTGGCTTTTCAGGTAAATAAACAAATTGCTGATATAACAGATGAAGAGCTCTCCTTCCATTCATGGTTCTAAGGGGAACCACTCCATTACATAAACACCTCAGAACAGGACAATGAAAAGTGATAAATGAAAGTATGAAAGTGACAAACAAGAAACATGACGTCGTCCTACCAGCCCAAGAGGTAGTTTGTTATAAACATGCAAACTATTAATAGTATGGCAAATAAAAAGTGAGTTAATTGTTTTTAACTGTAAACTATTTTTGTGGCAACATAAAGTGCTGACTTCCACACACAAATTTTCCTTTCATATTTGTGGTTCTCTAATACAGCATTTCCCAAACTTGGCACCCTTTAGAAGTATGCAAATTCTTGAGGCACCCGAGTATAAAATGTAAAAACTCTAAATGTAAACAGGACATGTGGTCCCCCCAAAATCCATACCAAACCCTCATACGAGATATGGGTCTGGTATGGATGGGGGACCCTCAAGCATAAATACAAACACACATACAAAAATAAAGTGGGATTCCCCCTTCACATCAGAGTCCCTTTACCATCACAGCCCCTACTTCACGTCAGAAGGCCTCACTTTCAAATCAGGAGCCTTCTTTACATCAGAGGCATGAATTTGTGTGAAAATTTCAAGGCACCCGCTAGATAACGTCATGGATATTTTCAGCATGGCAAACAGATGTAAACAATTTTATGACAGTGCTCTGGCCGTTGCTTCAGATGGGCGAGTGCTGTTGTTATAGTGTTACTACTGAAGGCTGGGGTCTACTTTTTATGTGGACAAGGCCTTGGAGACCAACCCTAAATGCACACAAAATACATTACCAGTATTACCTTTTTTGGACAATCAGATTGATGTTTCTTAGAGCCACATACTGGACCTCTGGCTCCCCAGAGAGCAGAGTAACCAAAGGAGGTGCCAATTTCTTGAGCAGCATAGTGTAGTAATCAGAGTCTTTAGGTAGAAGTTCCAGAAATTTCATCAAAACTTTAACAGCAGAAAGGACAACAGCGGAGTTGGCATGAGATAAGCGAGGAGTGACGCGCTCACAGATACTGTACAAATACAAAAAAGTATACTCTGTTATGAAAAACAGTGTGAGATATAAATCACAACCACATTATTATATGGTTTAAGTTGAAAAACTGAAAGTACAAATACGAACTATAAAAGGATGCACTTACCTTTGTGCCTCCCTCTCATCTTTTGGATTGTAGTTTGAGAGACAGTCAAGAATAAAGATCTGGCCCCATTCGGTGCATTCATTCAAGGCAGTCAGCAATTTGTTAATGTTTTGGGGATTCAGATCAAGAAGGTTACTGTTGGGGTGAGACTCGCTGATTTCAGACAGAGCAGCAACAGCATTGGCAACCACCTGCCAAAGGAAGGATGAAATATTAAATATTGGAAGCCAAAACTACAACATACAACAAAGTAGAAGAAGCACTAGGAACAGTTTGGCAAGGGTATAAAAGTCTGGATTTGCCACAAGAAAGGAAAAAAAAATTAAACAATCACACAAGCTGAACAAGAAAACAATGACTGCAATCTATATTGGCCTTCACCTATAGGTGAATATCTGATAACAACTGCCAATGTGCAGCATGTTGAGCACCATTTAATACAAAAGACCAAATTCAACACGAAAACTCACAAAGCTAGCAAATATCAATTTTAGTCCTGGGTAAAGCTAGCCATCTTGATGAACTGGCTGAATTTCGCTTTGTAGGTGCCCTTGTTGGCAGCCTTACATCCGCCATCTTCTTCAAAGAAGCCGGTTGAAACATTTTTCGACGAACAGTGACGACAGCTGCTTGTATTCTGAAAGTTGCACACCCGTTGCTGTTAGAATACAATAGCCAAGCAAGAGATTTGTCCATCCATGCTGTTTAGCATGGATGGAGGAATCTGTTTTATTTTTTTTCTGTTCAATCTACAGTTTGAAAGAAAAAATAAAACAGTGTTCGGCCAAGTCAAAATCATTTATAGAAAGACAAACAAAACAACTCAGACTAATACAAACCAACATTCTAAAAAAGCGACACATTAGGAAAACATTAAGAAAATATACATTAGAAAAAAGTAAAATTCAAAGGAAATCATTACTGATGTCTATTTGACGGCTTAAGGGCAACAAAATGAAATTGCTTAAGTTTAAAAACAAGAAACTGGTGTTCTATTAAGAACCACTTTAATATTGAAGGATCAGTCCAACCAAAACCTATCATCACGTAAGAGTTGCAGCCTGGAGGTCTACCCCCATATTGCAAGGGTTAAATGCTTGTTTTTGTCTAGGTGGATTCTGTAAAGCGCTTTCCCTTACCTGATGTCTGTTCCCGTTGGCTTGAGGATCAACACTCTCAGCCTCTTACCCCTCTCCACTCCAGTGGTTGGAGGCCCACTGACATCATCACATTTAGGGCTGCAGCTAACGATTATTTTCATAATCGATTAGTTGGCCGATTATTAAGTTCGATTAAATTTAATGCAAGGTGCATAGCTCTGCATTATACACAAGTACACTGAGGGACAATTCACAAGTCAGAGCGGAGGGTAAAAAGAAGAGCGCCGACCGCAGGGATTAGGTTAAAAAATGTGCTTTACAGAATGCCTCCAGACAAAAGGAGAAGTTAAAACTTGCAGTATGCGGGTAGCCCCACTGCAAAAGGTAGTTTTTGTTAACTTACAATAGGCTACAGGTACACTTACAGTGATTTTCAAGACTACATTACGAGGGCCACATTGATTTTTATCCCCAAGTCAAAGTAAGCATAGATTTACACTTAAACTCACAAACTTTATGAAATGTAAGAGGACAATTTCTCCTCCCACAAACAACCTTCTCATAACGCATAACACTGGTCAACACACTTTTTCTGGCATAAGGTATTCCAACAGTTTTAAGGTAATTTTGGGGTGCTGATTCCAAATCTGGCATCAGTTGTTGTCTATCACATCAGGTTTTTGAGATATCAAATATTGCATTTTCAATAAAAACAGCAAATTTATGCTCATATACGAATAGCTATACAGGCATACATACAAGAATAAGATAAGATAAGATACTCTTCTTTAATTTTTACAGAGTGTCCTATTGGGATTGAACCATATATATATTTCTGTTGTGAAGAAACACACATTTCAAACTCCTTTTACTATCAATAAAAAGTCTCCATTCACTTAAATCCTATACGGGCAGTCCCATATTGAGAAAAAGCTCTTCAACATCATTACAATAAACAAGTTGACCATCTGAATGGAAGTACTTTCGCAGTGCTGCTTCTCTGTTACCATAAAAGGAGACACTAGTGCCAGGTCTGAGTAGTCCTTTCTCTTGCAGCCTGGAAGCAAACAATTCAGCAGACTGCTTTGGCAAATACAAATCTCTTACAAGATCATTCAATTCAGGCTCACTAAACAGAGACATTTTATCACAATCTGCATCAGATGGTGTATATTCGATCTGAGCATCATCAACTGTAGAAGCAGGTAAACTGAGGGATTCAACATCAATCTCTGGTAGATCAGTAAATATAGGCCCAGGTATTTCCTCACAGTGCTCAACTGGTCGTCTGGCAGATGGGATATCTGGGCATTGTAAGTGTTGTTTATTTTTCTTATTGAAACCCTTTACATTGACAAGGCAGAAGTAGCAGTTATCCAAATGGTTTGTAGGTTCTCTCCAAACCATTGGCACACCAAACTTCAGCTTAGCAATTCTTTACTTTAGACCATGATCGCAAAGTTTCAACACAGGTTTTACACACTTTGTGAGGAGCCCAATTTTTGTCTTGGTCTCCAAGTCATACTTTAAAGTAGGCAAGATAAACATTCTTGACAAAAGGTATTAATGTTGCGCCTTTGATCCTGCAAAGTGCAGCTGCCACAGATGTAGCAGAAGATATCTGGGTCATTACTGCATTTCCTTCTTTCGGATGTTGTAGCCATTGTTAGATCACGCCCCGCAGAAGGAAAATAATAAATGTGGACATCTACATAAAATTATATTATAAAACACACTATCCTAAAAATACAGCACCATATTTTAACACTAAAGCAGTCACTGACTCGCAACAACTTGCAATCATAAGTGACAAAGAGTTCATTTCGGGTAAAATCAATGAAAATGGGGTACACCGGTAGCATAAAAATTAGATGTGATAGAGCAAATCTGAGATCAGATTTGGAATCAGCACCCTGAAATTAGTCTAAAAAAAGTCCAGGCCAGAAATGTTTTTTTGTTGACCATCTGATTTATTAACAACTTCCACTGGGATACTCGAAGTTCACCCTTCTAATAGCAATGGGCTCGCAAAAAATGAACAATGTTTCCTGTAGGAATATAATGGTGTAGTATGTCCAGTGTTTTTCATCCAATAAACCAAAAAGACTTAGTAGGGTACCAAAGAAAGTAGTCACTTGCATTCAGAAATCAAGTATGATTGAAGTGCATTAAAGCAGCTTGGGGGTTGGGTGTAGTGTATAAAGTTATGGGTAGTTTTATACAAACAGACAGAGAATACATAAGGCTGGAGGATAATATACAGATGGAGTAAATGGTTATTGATCTCTGGTGAGCTACATATATATGCCTTTTAAATTGTGCCTCTAAGCCATGATGAAGTTGAGGAAATCTGTAAAAGAAACTACCAGGCATACTTTTCTAGGAGTTGTCTAAAAAGGTGCAGACCATCTTCACGGTACATATTTGATAAGGAGGCAATTCATGAGATTTCCATAAAGTAGAGTAAGGAATAGTACATAGCTGTTCTATAACTGGATAATGCCATAAGGATAAATCATCAGGCAGACCCTAAAAGGATACCGGTTGTTTAACTCCATTGGTAAATGCCGTTTGCAAGGGATTTTATTAGGGGCTTCTAGAAATATTAAAGTATCCCTCCAAGCAAAATTGAAAAACTCTTTTGTACAAGGTTCCCATCTTTTTTTTTTCCTCATTTACGGTATGCTCCTTTAAATTATCCTTAGATAATATTATTACAGTGCCTATTAAGACTGACATTTCACTGCTTATTGTCTTAGTTCCAGGTTCTGCTGAGAACACTATACTGCCTCTCCACAAAGAGGCTTATTCCACAGATGTTGTTGGCCTTGGGAGGCTTCACCACCTGATTGTTATGCATAATCTCTGGGCTTTCCCTCAGTAGGTATGTTCAGCTTCAACAAATCTATTATGCATAGTCTCTGAAGTTCCACTCATGTGCATGCTCACAGCTCAAGCACATGAACATACACTTCTATCGGGCATATGAACATACACTTCCTCCCTGTAAATGAAGTTCAAGGGGGTGATGTAATTTCCTCTCCTGAAGTCATCCATCAGGGGATTCTCTTCCCGCTGCTAACCAGCACTGAGAAATAGCAGACCCTTATGACCACATGTAAACAATTGAATTTAAACATAATTAAAAGTTAATTTTAACTAATTAACTGTAAGTGAAGAAGCAATACTCGAAGTACTATCTTTTTTTTTTTTGAAAAATCTTTTTATTCATTTTGCATAGTAAACAATTACATTACAGTAACATTCGGGCACCAACATAGCACCCCATTCATACGCAACAGTGTATACATTACGGCATAACGTATGCCAACAACCGTAAAGGACCATGCAAGGTCCAATAACTAACCCTCTGACCATAACCCTCCCCCTCCCCTAGGCACAGGTAAATTATTACAATATAATTACAATCAATCCACCCCCCACCCGCTCCCTGATGTGAACCTTACAGCCAATCTCTTAAGTACTATCTTTGACCAGGTATGTGTTTTTTGTAGGCAAATTACCATGGCTTCGGATAGCTGAAAAGAACAATGGTATGTACTCAAATTTAGCAGTGTACCCAGGTTGAAAAATCCACATTTATTAAATGCCATCACTCTATAATAAAACTTGAAATTGAAATTGTGTAATTGTCATTGTTTTACTTAATCTTGCTGTCAAATATTTAATTTTATGGCTGTTCTGTGTTTGAAGGGGTTCAGACCTTGTGATAGGATACATCTGCTTTACTTGCAATGCAATTAGGCTTCCTGCAGTTTCAACTTTCTCCGAATTATATTCATGTCAGAGACTAACAAAATCAGTTTTTGACAGAAATAATATCTAAAGAGGACAACTTTAAACATTGCTTCATGTAATGCAAGTACAATCCACCTTTTTCTTGCTAGCAAGTAAAGTAAAAAAATACTTTCTATGTAAAGGGTGTTCGTAAATAATAAAACACAATTTAACAGCAATAGAAACATTTTTTGAAAGCTTTGGAATTAAGTATTTTGCACTGACAGCTCAGTAACTTAAAGCCTGGCTACTGATATCTTAGAAAACAGAAGCACAAGACAAGTGAATAAGAA